AGATATTCGAAAGATGGTTAAAAGGTCTTGTGGAATGAACTGGATTTCTCCTTCACATAATTCTAGAGCTCTGATTCTATAGCGAGGCTGCAGTGGATGGCAGCGGTGATGTGAAGCAGAAGCAGAGGCCCCTCCCAGAGGCGGGAGGCCTGTGTTCACTCTGGGCTCTGACCCTTAGAAGCCGGTCACTCCAGACAGACCCACACCTCTCTGGACTACAGTCAGCTCCGCTTTAAAATAAATAAACGGGGCTTCCCTGGTGGCGCAGTGGTTGAGAGTCCGCCTGCCAATGCGGGGGACACGGCTTCGTGCCCCGGTCCGGGAAGATCCCACATGCCGCGGAGCGGCTGGGCCCGTGATCCATGGCCGCTGAGACTGCGCGTCCGGAGCCTGTGCTCCACAACGGGAGAGGCCACAGCAGTGAGAGGCCTGCATACCGCAAATAAATAAATAAACGAATTAACTAACTAATTAATTATTTAATTAAAGGTGTCAGACTTATAATTTGTACTTTTAATTTTGATATTTGTTCTCTCCTTTAACACGAAGATTAACAAAGTAAGATCAAATGTGATGTCTAATTGATATTGCAGTTTGGGGTACGTATGCTTTAAGAAGCCATGTAGAACTTTAGACTCATATACTGCATTTCTTTCGCATTAATATTTATTAACTTCATAGGTATTGATTGTCTTTTACACTCAAATTGATTCAAAATTATCAGTGTGTAGATGGGAATGATGATAGATACTGTGAAAGATATTAGACTATGCTATGTAGGTTAATCTAACTTGCTCTCAATGCCCAACAGTGAAAAAAAAAAAAAAAAACTCTGTAATGAATCTTTCACCGTTTTCAGAACAGTCTGTGTCATGTGCCCGGCCTGTGCTGGACATGGCAGGCTGAAGCCAGCATGGCTGCTCAGACCCACCTCTGGATCTAGATTTGTCCTGGGTGAGTTCTTAAGTCCTCTGAACTGGTCTTTTTTTTTTACATCTTTATTGGAGTATAATTGCTTTACCATGGTGTGTTAGCTTCTGCTTCATAACAAAGCGAATCAGCTATACATATACATATGTCCCCATATCTCCTCCCTCTTGCGTCTCCCTCCCACCCTCCCTATCCCACCCCTCTAGGTGGTCACAAAGCACCGAGTTGATCTCCCTGTGCTATGCGGCTGCTTCCCACTAGCTATCTATTTTACATTTGGTAGTGTATATACGTCCATGCCACTCTCTCACTTCGTCCCAGCTTACCCTTCCCCCTCCCCGTGTCCTCAAGTCCATTCTCTACGTCTGCATCTTTTCTTTTTTAGATTCCATATATATGTGTCAGCATATGGTATTTGTTTTTCTCTTTCTGATTTAATTCACTCTGTATGACAGTCTCTAGGTCCATCCACCTCACTGCAAATAACTCAATTTCGTTTTTTTTATGGATGAGTAATATTCCATTGTATATATATGCCACATCTTCTTTATCCATTCACCTGTTGATGGACACTTAAGTTGCTTCCATGTCCTGGCTATTGTAGAGCTGCAATGAACATTGTGGTACATGACTCTTTGAATTGTGCTTTTCTCAGGGTATATGCCCAGTAGTGGGAGTGCTGGGTCATATGGTAGTTCTATTTTTAGTTTTTTAAGGAAACTCCATACTGTTCTCTATAGTGACTGTATCAATTTACATTCCCACCAACAGTGCAAGAGGGTTCCCTTTTCTCCACACCCTCTCCAGCATTTATTCTTTGTAGATTTTTTGATGATGGCCATTCTGACTGGTGTGAGGTCATACCTCATTGTAGTTTTGATTTGCATTTCTGTAATGATTAGTGATGTTGAGCATCCTTTTATGTGTTTGTTGGCAATCTGTATATCTTCTTTGGAGAAATGTATAATTAGGTCTTCTGCCCATTTTTGGATTGGGTTGTTTGTTTTTTTTATATTGAGCTGCATGAGCTGCTTGTAAATTTTGGAGATTAATCCTTTGCCATTTGCTTCATTTGCAAATATTTTCTCCCATTCTGAGGGTTGTCTTTTCGTCTTGTTTATGGTTTCCTCTGCTGTGCAAAGCTTTTAAGTTTCACTAGGTCCCATTTGTTTTTTTTTTGGTTTTATTTCCATTTCTCTAGGAGGTGGGTCAAAAAGGATCTTGCTGTGATTTATGTCATAGAGTGTTCTGCCTATGTTTTCCTCTAAGAGTTTTATAGTGTCTGGCCTTATATCTAGGTCTTTAATCCATTTTGAGTTTATTTTTGTGTATGGTGTTAGGGAGTGTTCTAATTTCATTCTTTTACGTGTAGCTGTCCAGTTTTCCCAGCACCACTTATTGAAGTGGCTGTCTTTTCTCCATTGTATATTCTTGCCTCCTTTATCAAAGATAAGGTGACCATATGTGTGTGGATTTATCTCTGGGCTTTCTATCCTGTTCCATTGATCTATATTCCTGTTTTTGTGCCAGTACCATACTGCCAGTACCATACTGTAGCTTTGTATTATAGTCTGAAGTCTGGGAGCCTGATTCCTCCAGCTCTGTTTTTCTTTCTCAAGATTGCTTTGGTTATTTGGGGACTTTTGTGTTTCCATACAAATTGTGCAATTATTTTGTTCAGTTCTGTGAAAAATGCCATTGGTAGTTTGATAGGGATTGCATTGAATCTGTAGATTGCTTTGGGTAGTATAGTCATTTTCACAATGTTGATTCTTCCAATCCAAGAACATGGTATAGCTCTCCATCTGTTTCTTTCATCAGTGTCTTATAGTTTTCTGCATACAGGTCTTTTGTCTCCCTAGGTAGGTTTATTCCTAGGTATTTTATTCTTTTTGTTGCAGTGGTAAATGGGAGTGTTTCCTTAATTTCTCTTTCAGATTTTTCATTATTAGTGTATAAGAATGGAAGAGATTTCTGTGCATTAATTTTGTATCCTGCTACTTTACCAAATTTGTTGATAAGCTCTAGTAGTTTTTTGGTAGCATGTTTAGGATTCTCTATGTATAGTATCATGTCATCTGCAAACAGTGACAGCTTTACTTCTTTTCCGATTTCGATTCTTTTTATTTCTTTTTCTTCTCTGATCGCTGTGGCTAAAACTTCCAAAACTATGTTGAATAATAGTGGTGAGAGTGGACAACCTTGTCTTGCTCCTGCTCAGTGGCTCCCAGAAGCAGGCTTAAATTAAGCCCCTTTAGAATACTGTATGGCAGGCCATTGCAGGTGTGTGCCCAGGCAGGAGCATCTATAATGCTAAAGAGCTAGCAGTGGCCAATCACATTAAAACTTTGGGCGCTTATACTGTTCATGAGTTTACCTCCAACAGGTCTGTCCATCCAACCGAAGTAGATGGGAATTCCATTGGAGAAGGGGCAATCAATTTGTTTAATTTTGTCCAGAGAAATACAGGAATCTAGCATATGTACTGGGAAGTGGAACCAAAACCCCACGTTCAGTTACAAATTAGACAACAGGTGCTAAGTTTCATCGGGTTCAAACAGCTGTGGGTAAAAAGGACTGACTAAAGATTCTAAGGAATATTCATCACCTCCATTCAGCAGAATGGTATTAGCTTCTTTTCCACAAGATTGTGGAATGGACATTGACACTGGGGGACTATAATAGGAAAGCACCTTCTGTATTCTATTACAAGTGAATCACTAAAGGGATGTTGCCTGTAAGCTTAAGTTATACACAACGGCCCATCTCTGGGAACCCTGCCTGCCAGGTGATGAGCATTAAGCTAAAATACCTTTGTTTAGCTCACAAACCTCCTGACCAGGCTCACCTGTGAATGACTGACTCAGGGAGGAAGAAATTAACCCATCCCCTCCAGAGGCTCATGGGAACCAGGAGATGTTTGACTTTACTGCCCTTTGAGTATAAAAGGAGCCTGAATTCTAACTCAGGCAAGATGGTTCTTTAGGGGCACAAGCTCACCATCTTCTCTGTCTGCTGGCTTTCCGAATACAGTCGTTAGTCCTTGTCCCAAGTACTGCTCTCTCGGATTATTGGCCTCTCCTGCGGCGCAAGCAATACAAGCTTGGACTTGGTAACAGTAGTTTGTTTCTTACACTGTACCGGTTGTTGGAAATAGCACTTCATTTGATTTCTTTAAATATTTATTTAAACAGACACAAAGCCTGGGTGTGTACACAATGGTAACTTGCAGTGTCTGCATCTGCAATGGCAATTAAGAAAACGGTTTTCGAGTTTTGCACTTTAGTGTTCAAAACAGAACTAGGTTTATTTTAATAAAAAATAAACAAAATAAAATTAGGCTTTATTACCTAATGGGCAAAGAGCCAACTACGCATTAGGCAGAAAAGACGAGCGATAGCTACTTTAGGAGTGACTTCATCACAAGGTTACTTTTGACTCATCAGAGAGTGTGGCCGACTGTCCTTTTTTCGTTTACTTGGTCACTCGTGCCAAAGAAGACAAAAACAAAAAACAAAAGACACGCGGAACTAGACAGACGCCCCCGCCCCAACCGCGAGGGCGCCAGCCGAAGTTTTGAAAGGCAGGGGAGGGGCTCGGTCTGTCCCGGAAGTTCTCTCCGGGAACTGTTTCCCCCCGCCTCTCCGCCCGCCACCACCACCCCTTGCCCCCCGCTCCCGGGCGGAAGACGCCGGGCCGTGAGCGCCTAGTAACGTGGAACGCTGGGTCGCCGGGAGTGGTAGTTTGCGTGAGTCCGGCTGCGTGCTCTCGCAAGCGCAGAGGGGCAGGTAGGAACTACATTTCCCAGGAGCCCTCGGGCCTGGGCGGAGCCGGGCTGGCCGCGGAGGCTGTGGCGGGTGGTTTGTAAGGGTAGCGGCGGCGGCGACGACGGCTCGAGCGCTGGCGTGAGTGGACTGAGAGGCCGGGGCCGAGGAGCGGGACTTCGTGGCGGGGGTGGGGTGGGGTGGGGGTGGGGAGGACCGGAGGAGCTGGTGTGTTCGTCGCCGTGCGTCCACGAGGGACGGCGGGGCGCGCGGGGAGCGGCGCCGGGCGGCGAGGGGAGCTCTGGGTCAGTGTCGGGCCTGCTAGCGCTGTTCCGCGGCGGCTTCTCGCGGGCTCCCGCCGCTTGTGGTCTCGGCTGCACTCTGAGCTGCTGCGCGGAGGCGCGGGGCCGCAGCTGCGCGAGGAGCGCGTCGGTGCGTCACCTTCCTGCTGGTCTGGGCCGGTCTCCCTGCCGGCAGGTGCGGTCTTGCAAAGCTTCGGGTTTGAAAGCTTTGCTGTGAGTTGGTGGCTTTCAAGGACGTGTACTTTGGGAGACCGGTAAGTCACCTTTCTAAGCGACCAGTTACTTCTCAAGGCCTGAGGGAGGCTTTGAATTGTTTGCGTCTACCTTTTCTTCCTCGCGAGGTAGAGAATTTATCCCCCCCGGCCCGCTGCTTTAAATAATGTTTACGTGGTAGTCTTTGGAGGTTTCAAGGCTGTCCGTTCGTTTCAAACAGATTTTGATATCAGGAAGATCTGAGTCCACCTCCTAATAATCCATTCTGGGCATTTTGCTGTATATGCTCCCTTTACCAAGGCCTTAGCATCAATACTAAGTAACAGGTTAAGGTGGAATTGTATTTCTGTGCGTCATGCCGACAGTAAATATACCTCTAGGATCATAGTGATGAAGCTGAAATGAAGCAGGGGAGGTTTCTTTTTTACGTGGGCGAGATATGTGTTACCGAAAGTGAGTTCCGGATGCTCCTGCGCAAAAGCCAGTGAAGAGGCAAGGCTGGTGGAAAGGAAAGTTTGCTTTCTTTTGGGTGCCGGGAGCGGGGAGGGCGACTCCTGTCCAAAGGCCGACTCCCCTCCCCTGCCCTCCGCGGCCACAGTCGACAGTCGTGGGTCAAGAGCTGTTATAGGCGGCGGGAGGAGCCCACGTGGAAGCGACGCAGGCAGCTCGGACAGGCATCTTGAAGCTGGTCATGCGGTGCTCTGGCCAGCGTCATCTTGACTGTTTTAAGTAGTTAACCTTAGGTTCCAAACTCGGTTTGTTCCCATTTTCTTGAGGCCAGTTTTTAGAATCGTGGCAGCTTATGTCATGGCTACAGTTAATGTAGTTCACTTCTCCCACCTGATGGGGGTTTCATTATCTACAAGACAGCCCACCGGAGAGGGCTCCCGATATTAGCTACAGCCCTTGAGAAGGAGCTAAAGTGCCTTGCCTTTGCTTAATGACTAAACTGTTATTGTTTTGTCCTGTTTGACTGCTTTTCTTTGCTTCTGCATTTTCTCACTTCTCTGGTTAAACTTATTCTTTGGTTTTTCCACAGACAGAAAGGCAGGCTGAGGACATGGGGGGCAGGGACCATAGGGTCCTGCTCTGTTTTACATGCAGACGTCTGAGTGCTGCATCACATCGGTGCTTGCGCTTGCCAGTCTAGTAGGGAACTTTGCTAGTTTTTTTTGTTTTAATTAGAGTATAGTTGATTTACAATGTTGTGTTTCAAGTGTACAGCAAAGTGATTCAATTATACATACATACATATTCTTTTTCAGGTTGTTTTCCTTTATAGGTTATTACAAGATATTGAGTAGAGTTCCCTGTGCTGTACAGCAGATCCTTGTTGTTTACCTGTTTTATGTTTAGTAGTGTGTGTTTGTTAATCCTAAACTTCTGATTTATGCCTCCCACCCCCACCCCCTGCCAATCTACTTTGGTAACCGTAAGTGTTTTCTGTGTCTGTTTTGTAAATGAGTTCATTTGTATCTTTTTTTTTTTTTTTAGATTCCACATGTAAGTTATATCATATGATACGTGTCTTTCTCTGTCTGACTTCACTTAATGTGGTCATCTCTAGGTCCATCCATGTTGCCGCAAATGGCAATTTTCCATTATTTTTTATGGCTACTACTCCATTGTATATATGTACCACATCTTCCTTATTCATCTGTCAGTGGACATTTAGGTTGCGTCCATGTCTTGGCTACTGTAAATTGTGCTGCTATGAACATTGGGGTGCATGTATCTTCTAGAATTAGGGTTTTCTGTGGATATATGACCAGGAGTGGGATTGCTGGATCATATGGTAGTTCTGTTAGTTTTTTAAGGAGCTTCCTTACTGTTCTACATAGTGGCTGCACTAACTTACATTCCCACCAACAGTGTAGGAGTGTTCCCTTTTCACACCTTCTTCAGCATTCATTATTTGTAGACTTTTTAGTGATGCCATTCTGACTGGTGTGAGGTGATACCTCATTGTGGTTTTGATTTGCATTTCCCTGATGATTACTGATGTTAAGCATCTTTTCATTTGCCTGTTGCCCATCTGTATGTCTTCTTTGGAGAAACGTCTATTTAGGTCTTCTGCTCATGTGTTGATTGGGTTGTTTGTTTTCTTGATGTTGAGCTGTATGGTCTGTTTTTATATTTTGGAAATTAATATCTTGTTGGTCGCTTCGTTTGTAAATATTTTCTCCCATTCTGCAGGTTGTCTTTTTGTTTTGCTTATGGTTTCCTTTGCTGTGCAAAAGCTTTTAAGTTTTATTAGGTCCCATTTTGTTTTTTTGTTTTGATTTTATTTTCATTACTCAGGAGACGGATTGAAAAAATATTGCTACAATTTGTGTCAAAGAGTGTTCTGCCTGTGTTTTACTCTAGGAGTTTTGTAGTATCCTGTCTTACATTTAGGTCTTTAATCCATTTTGAATTTATTTTTGTATATGGCCTTACAGAATGTTCTAATCTCATTCTTTTACATGTAGCCGTCCAGTTTTCCCAGCGCCACTTATTGAAGAGACTGTCTTCTCTCTATTGTGTATTCTTGCCTCCTTTGTCATAGATTAATTGACCATAAGTGTGTGGGTTTATTTCTGGGCTTTCTATCCTGTTCCATTGATCTGTATGTCTGTTTTTGTGCCAGTGCCATACTGTCTTGATTATTGTAGCTTTGTAATATAGTCTGAAATCAGGGAGTGTGATTTCTCCAGTTCTGTTGTTTTTTTCTCAATATTCTTTTGGCTATTCGGGGTTTTTTGTGCTTCCATACAAATTAAAATTTTTTGCTCTAGTTCTGTGAAAAATGCCATTGGTAATTTGATAGGGATTGCATCGAATCTGTAGATTGCCTTGGGTAGTGTGGTCATTTTAACAATATTGATTCTTTCAATCCAAGAACACAGTATATCTTTGCATCTTTTTGTGTTGTCTTCATTTTCTTTCATCAGTGTTTTATAGTTTTTGGAGTACAGGTCTTTTGCCTCCTTAGGTAGGTTTATTCATAAGTATTTCATTTTTTTATGTGATGGCAAGTGGGGTTGTTTCCTTAATTTCTCCTTCTGACATTTCATTGTAAGTGTATAGAGATGCAACAGATTTCTGTGTATTAATTTTGTGTTCAGCAAATTTACTGAATTCATTGATGAGCTCTAGTAGTTTTCTGGTAGTATCTTTACGATTTTCTGTGTATAGCATCATGTCATTTGCAAACAGTGACAGTTTTACTTCTTTTCCTATTTGGATTCCTTTTCTTTTTCTTCTCTGATTGCTGTGGTTATGACTTCCAAAACCATACAAGTGGAGAGAGTGGGCATCCTTTTCTTGTTCCTGATCTTAGAAAAAATGCTTTTCACTATTGAGTATGATGTTAGCTATGGGTTTGTTATATATGGCCTTTGTTATGTTGAGGGATGTTCCCTTTATGCCCATTTCCTAAGAGTTTTTATCATAAATGAATGTTGAATTTTATCAAAAGTTTTTTTCCGCATCTACTGAGATGATCATAATGTTTTTATTCTTCAATTTGTTAATGTGTTGTATCACATTAATTGATTTGCAGATATTGAAAAATCCTTGCATCTCTGGGATAAATCCCACTTGATCATGGTGTATGATCCTTTTAATGTATTGTTGGAGTTGGTTTGCTAGAATTTTGTTGAGGATTTTTGCATCTGTGTTCATCAGTGATACTGACCTGTGATTTTCTTTTTTTTGTGATGTCTTTGTCTGGTTTTGGTATCCGGGTGATGGTGGCACATTTAAATAGAATGAGTTCAGACGTGTTCCTCCCTCTGCAATTTTTTGGAATAGTTTGAGAACAGTAGGCGTTAACTCTTCTCTCAGTGTTTGGTAGAATTAACCCGTAAAGTCATCTGGTTCTGGACTCTAGCTTGTTGGGAGTTTTTTAGTTACTCATTCAGTTTCAGTACTGGTAATTGGTCTGTTCATGTTTTCTTTTTCTTTCTTTTTTTTTTTTTTACATCTTTATTGGAGTATAATTGCTTTACAATGGTGTGCTAGTTTCTGCTTTATAACAAAGTGAATCAGTTATACATATACATATGTTCCCATATCTCTTCCCTCTTGCATCTCCCTCCCTCCCACCCTCTCTATCCCACCCCTCTAGGTGGTCACAAAGCACCGAGCTGATCTCCCTGTGCTATGCGGCTGCTTTCCACTAGCTATTTTACGTTTCGTAGTGTACATATGTCCATGCCACTCTCTCGCTATGTCACAGCTTACCCTTTCCCCTCCCCATATCCTCAAGTCCATTCTCTAGTAGGTCTGTGTCTTTATTCCTGTCTTACCCCTAAGTTGTTCATGACATTTTTTTTCCCTTAAATTCCATATATATGTGTTTATATTTTCTACTTCTTCCCGGCTCAGTCTTGGGAGATTATTGTACCTTTCTAAGAATCTGCCCATTTCTTCTAGGTTGTCCATTTTATTGGCATATAGTTGCTCATAATAGTCTCATATGATCTTTTGTATTTCTGTAGTGTTAGTTGTAACTTCTCTTTCATTTTTTTTCTTTTTAAGGAACGTAATGCAATCTTTTGAAATTTTTTAAAAATAAATTTATTTATTTATTTATTTTTGGCTGCATTGCATCTCCACTGCTGTACCTGGGCTTTCTCTAGTTGTGGCAAGTGGGGGCTACTCTTAATTGTGCACGGGCTTCTCATTGCACTGGCTTCTCTTGTTGCGGAGCACGGGCTCTAGGTGCACAGGTTTCGATAGCTGTGGCACATGGGCTCAGTAGTTGTGGCTCGCAGTCCCAGTAGTTGTGGCGCACTGGCCTAGTTGCTCCGTGGCATGTGGGATCCTCCCGGACCAGGGCTTGAACCCGTGTCCCCTGCACTGGCAGTCAGACTCTTACCCACTGCGCCACCAGGGAAGTCCCTCATTTCTGATTTTATCGATTTGGGCCCTCTCCCTCTTTTTCTTGATGAGTCTGGCCAGTGGTTTATCAATTTTGTTTATCCTTTCAGGGAACCAGCTTTTAGTTTCATTGATCTTTTCTGTTGTTTTTAAAATCCTTTTCTGGTTTTTGATGTTACAGAATGACCTTGTAGCTTGTCTTTGTTCTAAATTTGGATTTCATAAGTTTCCTGACGAGGTCGTTTAAATTCAGTCAGGGTTACTTGGTTGATTCTGATGAAGAGTTTTGCCTTTTTACATAGGTTTCCAACTCAGAAATAGTTAGAATTAGTTTGCTTACCACAGTTTAAAAAAATTATTCAGGAGTAAGAGATATCCAGTAAAGTGCCTTAATCTTTTTTTTTTTTTTGGCCACACCATGTGGCTTGCCAGATCTTAGTTCCCCAACCAGGGATCGAACCCTGGGCCCTTGGCAGCGAGAGTGTGGAGTCCTAACCACTGGACTGCCAGGGAATTCTCAGAGTGCCTTAATCTTAAGTGTACAGCCCAAACATATATACCAGTGTAGTCATCTCCCAGATACAGAACATCCCTAGCATCCTGAAGGCAGAAACCCCTTCCCAGGCGATACCAGCTTCCTAGACAGCCATGCTTCTGACTTCTGGACCTGGGAGTTTATTCTGCCTCTTCTCAAACTTCATACTAAGTGGAATCACACAGTATTTGTGTCAGACTTTTTTTTTTTTTTCGGTACGTGGGCCTCTCACTGTTGTGGCCTCTCCCGTTGCAGAGCACAGGCTCTGGATGCGCAGGCTCAGCGGCCATGGCTCATGGGCCCAGCCTTTCCAAGGCATGTGGGCTCCTCCCGGACCGGGGCATGAACCCACGTCCCCTGCATCGGCAGGCGGACTCTCAACCACTGCGCCACCAGGGAAGCCCTCGTGTCAGACTTTGATTCAACTTTTCTCATCCATGTCGTTGCCTATAGCAACTGCCTATAGCAGTAGGTTTTTTTTTTTTAAATGCTGTAGTAGCTGTGGTTGTCAACGTGTGATATCAGTGAGAAAACAAATCACGCTGCCATTTTTTTTGTTTTGTTTTGTTTTATCCCCAGTTTTCTCCATTTCAGTTAACGGCAACTCTGTTCTTCGAGTTGTTTAGCCAGAGAATTTTCAGGAATGAAGGAGAGGATCCCAGGACACTCTGTAGGTTGTGGTAGACAATAAGGAATAGTAGGTTATATAGTCTGATAATACGAGGTTCAAAATTGGGGATTTTGATGGTAGAGGAAGGGAGAATAATCCAGGTCTAAAAAAGAACAATAAAGAAGGTACGTATTCCAAGGGTATGGGCTCCATAGGAGGAGGTTTTCTCAGGAAGGTGAGAGAAGAGGTTAAGAATAATAGATTTTGCTTGTGACGTACAGTGAGTGTTTGGCATTGGGATGCTTGGGACACGGAGACAGGATAAGCACATGCGTGGAGATTAGCGTGGCACGGATGAAGGGCGCTGACATAAATAGATTCCCAAACATAAAGACGTGAACCCTGGAGGAGTCAAGGTGGATAGTGGTGATGGGCTGTAGGAACTGGTGGTTTTCGGGAGGAATGGGGCATTGGTGGGGGCTTCCTGCAGATGGGAGTTATGAAGTCTGGGTGACTGGGTCTTATTCTGCCCCTCATAGCTGCACCACATGCACTTCTTCCACTGGGTCCTTAGCTTTTCCTCTAAGTGAGGCCTTTCTGTGCACCCCGTCTAAACTTGCAGTCTCCTACCCCCACATGGCTTTTGTGTGTATTTTCCCCACTAGACTCTGAGTTATTAACTGCTGTCTACCCAGTGCCTACAGCAGTACTGGGCACAGAGTAAGAACACAGTAAATGTTAGTTGCTTATCTGTTGCACTAGTCACAGAGTTACACTAGGAATTCGGTTGTTTTAGAGTATGATTCATACAGCATAGCTGTCCCGTGCTATGAACCAATGAAATTTTTATTGTTGAACATTGAATGAACACAAACAATACTTTATAAAACTGAATTGTTTTCAACAATATAACCTTAGTTCTGATTTAATTTTAACTTACTTTTAGCAAACATTTATCAAGTTTCTTCTATCTCCCAGGGACGGATGGTGCTAGACAGTGGTGAATATACAGATACCTTCAAGGAATTCACAGCTTGGTAGATTATGAACACAGAAGCGAAATACCACTAATAATGAGATGACGCCAAAGCAGTGATGTCAGAGACCTCTAGGGATGCAGATGAGAGACTGCCTGCTGGGCAAGGGGTTATAAGAGAGAAGAGGAGGAACGGACAGCAGCAGACAGTGCCAGGTGAAGCCATGGGGTGGTGGTGACTTCTGTTCTGGGACTAGGGAGAACAGGGTTCCCCGTATTGGGCAAAGAAGCAGTACTGGACTAGGACCAGACGCATGCACGTGGTTAAAGTGGATATTGATAGTGGCCTATTTTTCCTTTGGTAATCAAATAACTTAGAAGATGCTTTAGCTCCCTTAGTTTTTGGTCAACTGATTGAGCACTTGTGTAAATTCATCAGTAACTGATTAAATCAGAAGGGAACTTTGAGTTTTGATCCCCTCAATTTGGGTATTTTAAAGACGTTTTAAAAATATGTAACTTACTGCCCAATTGCTTTGCTAGTTAAAGTGTTTCCTGTAAGAAATATTCAGTAGGTTTTTGTGCTGGGTTAGGTTTGGGTTGAATAACTTTAATAATTTTTGTTGGCTGTCTTGTTTCTACAGGTGTTGGAAATTAACAGCTCTTCTAGCTTTTACATTATTTAAATACAGTAGTGTCATTGGACTAAAATGTTCCTGATGTCAGCCTCTTCAGAGTTAAACAGTGGGCAGAACTTCTTAACCCAGTGGATGACCAGTCCTTCTCGGGCTGGGGTCATATTAAATCGTGGATTTCCTATTTTGGAAGCAGAGGAAGAGAAGCGAGTAAATGTGAACATTTCTACCAGCTTTCCTATTAACCCCACAGATTTTTCAAATAGCTTCAGCTTTATACGTGAAGAAGATTCACTTCATGAAGAACAGAAGTTGGAGCCCAACAGCCCTTACAAGTTACAATCAGATAAATCTGAAACACAGAGAGTCTTTCCTTCGACTAAAGAGGGAACACAAATAGTGGCATGTCAGCATGCTCCTGGACACTGGGAAGATAACAAAAATGACTTTATTTCAGATCCTGTGAGTGAATTCAAAGAAGTGGCTTATAAAGACCCACTTTTTAAAAAGCTTGAACAGGTAAAACGGGATTTGACTTAATATGTATCTGTGTTATTGCGCAGTTATTGCAGGTACGACGAAAGGTCACCTGTTCCAGGTCTTTTTGTTTCTTCCCCTGTACTGTGAAAGCCTCATAATACCATATTTTGCCTTTTGTTTGATATGAAACATTAAAGCATATTTAATATGTAAGATATAAATATAGCACTTACGGTAACATCTTTAGGTTTCTCCCTCATTTTGTAAAAACTAAATTGGAAATGGTTGACCAAATATTAGGGAAGAAAAGTTGATTATAAATGTACTGATACCTATCCTGTTTTAAGAGTCAAAGGATTCATGTGACTTGTTCTGTTTCTTAGTTGAGAGTTTAGTTTTGGTGGCAGATTTAGTTACTTAGAGATCCCTCTTTTTTTTTTTAATTTTTAGAACTTTAAAATTTTTATTTATTTATTTGGCTCTGCCAGGTCTTAGTTGCGGCATGCAGGGTCTTTAGTTGCAGCATGTGGGATCTAGTTCCCTGACCAGGGATTGAACCCGGGCCCCCTGCATTGGGAGCACGGGGTCTTAACCACTGGACCACAAGGGATGTCCCTAGAGAGCCCTCTTTGAAACTCTTTATTAGAGAAGATATGAGAAGGGAGACGGGAGGGATTAAGATAAATGTAAGGGGCAAAGGTCCAGAAAGAAATATTAAGTTAGTTTAATCAAGTTAATTTTATGTTTAAAAAGCTGAAAGAAGTACAACAGAAGAAGCAGGAACAACTGAAGAGGCAACAGTTAGAGCAACTGCAAAGACTCATGGCGGAACAGGAGAAGCTGCTCACCATGGTGTCTGGGCAGCATACACTCCCAGGTAGTATGTGCTTACGTAAGACCTTTGCTTAGTACAGCGATGGACAGTTACCTACACTTCCTGTCTTTCATTGTTTGACGGGTCATTTCTACCATTTCTCTATCATGTGTTGCAAACTCCAATTTCTTAAGAAGCCAAGCAGACAACTATGGAATGGTGGTGGTGTAATATAATTGGGATGAGGGATCTGTGCCATTCTGGAGCATGTGTGCCCTGCTTAAAGGCATTCATATTTATTTATAAAATAAAATTTTAAAAAGACCCAGCAGAATGAAAGATCCAGAGCTGAATTTGGCCTAGGGCTACTGGTTTACAACCCCTGCCTGATGAATGAAAAACTGCTCAGGGTCGTAAAGATGCGGATGTGTAGAAGCCATGCTGCTCAGCTAAAGAGCCGCACCAGAAACATCTTCTGTGGTAGTAGAGGACAGTTTTTCTGTTGTATGCCAGGTCAGTTAATAGAAAGCATGATGTGCTTATCAGTGGGGGGAAAGCAGTGGAAATGTGATCCGGAGCAGTAGCTTTGAAAGTTTTTTGACCGTGCCGCATAGTAACAAAACCATCTTAAATGATGACTCATAATTTCAAAGAAATTTCATGAATCAGTTCTTATTGGTGTGCCTGGCAGGTAACAAGGATATTTTGTTTATTCTATTGTATGTCATTAAAAAAAAATGCCATTCATGATCTGTTGTGTCTGCTGATAAAATGGATTATGTCCCACAGTTTGAAAAACAGCAGTCTGGAGCAGTGTGTTTGCTTCTTGGGCTACCTTTTAAGAGACATGCTTTACTGATTCAGGAAAATGGTTGTTCTCTTCAGAGATTGCGCTGGACATTGAGAATACAAAGAAGAAAAGATTGGCAAATGAATGTGCAGAGTGTGGCTGGATGGTACTCGGGGAGTGGTGGTAGTGCTGGTGATGAGAACTGTAGCAGATGAAGAGTGGTTTAGGGCATTTGGATGTTTATCTTAGAGAACATAGGGAACGTGGTATGTATCTTGAAATAATTGAGTGCCTTTATGGAATACATAAAAATAATAATCAAAATCATTTACAATAGCCTGTGATAGTTCTTAAGGTAGAAATAGCACTATGGTAGAGCAATAGGGAAGCAGATGTCAAACTTATTAATATAAGAACTACCTCCATGGAGTTATGAAACAGTTGCTTTAGGGCCATTTTCACATTTTTTGGTTTCAGGACCCTGTAACACTCTTGAATTATTGAGGACCCCAAAAAGCTTGTGTTATATGGGCTATAGCTATTGATATTTACTGTGTTAGAAATTAAAACTTAGAAATTTAAAAACTAATTCATTTAAAATAATAACCAATTACATGCTATAAATAACTTTTTTTTTTTTTTTTTGGCTGCGTTGGGTCTTTGTTGCTGTGTGCGGGCTTTCTCTAGTTGTGGCGAGCAGGGGCTACTCTTTGTTGTGGTGCGCGGGCTTCTCATTGCGGTGGCTTCTCTTGTTGCAGAGCATGGGCTCTAGGCTGAGCGGGCGTTACTAGTTGTGCGCAGACTTAGTTGCCCCACGGCACATGGGGATCTTCCCGGACGAGGGCTCGAACCTGTGTCCCCTGCATTGGTGGGCAGATTCTTAACCACTGCACAACCAGAGAATAACATTTTTTAATGAAAAAAAATTTTCTAAAAAATTAGTGAGAAGAATTGCATTGTTTAATGTTTTTGAAAATCTCTTTAACTTCTGGCTTAAAGAACTCAGCTGATTCTCGTATCTACTTTTGCCTCCCATCTCTTCAGTTATGTTGATTTGGTTGATGTATGTGAAAAAAAACCCAGCCTCACACGGACATGTAATTGGAAAAAGGGGAGAGAAGTATTTTAATAGGCTTTTCAAATAATTTTGGTTATTTCTTTGATACTGCACCAAACTCAACAAGTGGTCGTTTCTTAGCGGTTATTCACAACATGGAATCTGAAATCATATTAGTGAATTTTCATGCTCTATTACATTAAAATATATTAGAATGTCTTGCCATTTCTTTCTTTAAAAATAAAGATTATTAAAAATAATTACTGCACTAATTAAAATAGGTCTCAGTTTCTTTTTTATTTGGCTGCGTCGGATCTTACTTGCGCACACGGATCTTCGTTGAGGCACGCGGGATCTTTTTCTCTTCGTTGCAGCACTCGGGCTTCTCTCTAGTTGTGGTGTGCAGGTTTTTTTCTCTCTCTAGTTGTGGCGCATAGGCTCCTGGGCGTGAGGGCTCTCATTGAGGTGTGCGAGCTCAGTTGTTGTGGTATGTGGGCTTAGTTGCCCTGTGGCATGCAGGATGTTAGTTTCCCGACTAGGGATCGAACCCGCGTCCCCTGTATTGGTAGGTGGATTCTTTACCACTGGACCACCAGGGAAGTCCCTAGATCTCAGTTTCTAAAGTATCATAAAATTTTAGGAAGTTTCTGAAAGTCAGAATCATTCAAGGTCAGAATGATTTATTCTTGAAAGTAATTTTGAGTATGCCTGTAGATGTTTGTATAAGCATAAAAAAGGGTGTGAAATCGTACATGAATATTAATAATAGTTACTCCAAGGGATTGATATATTGTTTTTTTTGCTGTACGCAGGCCTCTCACTGTTGTGGCCTCTGCCGTTGCGGAGCACAGGCTCCGAACGCGCAGGCTCAGCGGCCATGGCTCACGGGCCCAGCCGCTCCGCGGCTTGTGGGATCTTCCCAGACCGGGGCATGAACCCGTGTCCCCTGCATCGGCAGGCGGACTCTCAACCACTGCGCCACCAGGGAAGTCCAGGGATTGATTTTATAAGAAGATGTGGACTTATGCAGATTAACTTTATACTTCGAACTATTTGAGTTGCCAAAATAAGCAAGAATTACTTCCACAATTTAAAACATCAAATTAAGTGAAATGAATAAATAAATAACAGTAATTACAAACCATACCACTCAATGGGATGTTACATTATACCTTTATGCATTCTATGAGTGATTGGAATAAACTGAGTGTACATTTCCTTCAAACTCTGGGATCATACAGTTCTAAGTAGAATGACAATAATCTCTCTTTTATTTGCTGTACCCAACCTGTATTTAATTTCCACACCTGGAGTGAGGTTTGTTGAGCTCCAGAGTCTGGGTCTCTACTGATATCTTACTCTCTCAGGTGCACATGGCATAAGAGAAAGGTCACATTAAAAGATAAAGTCATAGGCAGATCATCTAATTTCTCAGATAACACCAAGAGCAGGGATTCCAGAAGGAAGTCACAGAAACTCAGGAGTTAATCATCAAACTGTATTTGGCAAAGCACTGTGCGTTTATCCTTCCATAAGGCAAAAAGAAACGAAACTTTTTTTTTAACATCTTTACTGGAGTATAATTGCTTTACAATGTTGTTTTTTTCTTTTTTTTTTAAACATCTTTATTGGAGTATAATTGCTTTACAATGGTGTGTCAGTTGCAGCTGTATAACAAAGTGCATCAGCTATACATATAAATATATCCCCACATCTCCTCCCTCTTGTGTCTCCCTCCCACCCTCCCTATCCCACCCCTCTAGGTGGTCACAAAGCACCGAGCTGATCTCCCTGTGCTATGCGGCTGCTTCCCACTAGCTATCTATTTTACATTTGGTAGTGTACATATGTCCATGCCACTCTCTCACTTCGTCCCAGCTTCTCTTTCCCCCTCCCCGTGTCCTCAAGCCCATTCTCTATACAAGTAAAACTTTTAAGTGATGTTTTCTGGGAACAACATTTAAGTTAACTGCCAGTGATCAATAATTTTTTTTAATATAAAAAATACCTGAACTTAACACATACATTTTGAAAACTTACTGTGCCTTTCAAAACATTTTATATAAACCTGGTAGTAAATTATTATGATTATTTATTCTTTCATTAATTATCTTGGCATTTTGAATGGATTTTTCATCACCTTTGGTTTGGTAAAACCAAACCATGCATTGGTTATTTGGAAAATAATAGTTCCCTGAGTTATGTAGGTTTTTAAAATATTGACATATTTCATTATAAAAATTTATATCCATTAATACTACCACAGATCTCATCATAACTGTATTATAAAGTTGTCAAGCTCATGGCGATGGACATGTTTTCCAACATTCTCATTTTTACTTGGAAGTTCAAATTTTATCATTGGCAACGAATATTGTCAGCTTCTTTGAAGTAACTGGCTCACTTGTTTCATCTTTGAGAAAATGCCTGCCAAGTACTGAGCTTTAAATCATTCATTGTTTGTCATTCATTCTTTCAAGTAAAAATGATGTTCCCGGGCTTCCCTGGTGGTGCAGTGGTTGAGAGTCCGCCTGTGCGTCCGGAGCCTGTGCTCTGCAAGGGGAGAGACCACGGCAGTGAGAGGCCCGCGTACCGAAAAAAAAAAAAAAAAATGATGTTCCCTGAAAGAAGTGTCTAGTTGAGCTTAGCAGATTTTTTTTGTCTGCGCCACGAGGCATGTGAGATGTTAGTTCCCCGCCAAGGGCACTCTACCCCCCTGCGTTGGAATCTTGGAGTCTTAACCACTGGCCTGCCAAGGAAGTTCCTCTAGTTGAGCTTGTAGCTCAAAAATTTCACAGTCCATGTCTTGGTTTACGGCAGAAGTGATTTATGCGTACTTCTCATTTTGTCCTATAGAATGTTCATGTACTCAGGCTTAAAATTTAATTTAAAAATTTAATAATTTTTGCTGCTTTATCTAGAACATTCTTAAGTAAAACTTTTTTTTAAGGTTTTTTTAAAAAAATTATTTATTTTTGGCTGTGTTGGGTCTTTGTTGCTGTGCGTGGGCTTTCTCTAGTTGTGGTTACTCTTCTTTGCAGTGCACGGGCTTCTCATTGCGGTGGCTTCTCTTGTTGCAGAGCATGGGCTCCAGGCGTGCGGGCTTCGGTAGTTGTGGCTCACGGGCTCTGGAGTGCAGACTCAGTAGTTGTGGCGCACGGGCTTAGTTGCTCCGCGGCATGTGGAATCTTCCTGGACCAGGGCTCGAACCCATGTCCCCTGCATTGGCAGGTGGATTCTTAACCACTGCACCACCAGGGAAGCGCAGAACTGTTCTGTTTTGGTTTTAAACTGAGAGTACATGGCGGTGACGAACACAGTGACTGCTAGCGCAGTGGGTGCTGCTCTACTGCTTTTGAATGGAGTCTCCAGGAGGTTTCCATTTTGCCTTTGCAGCATCAGTACATATGTCAACACAGTGAAAAAGGCAAGTACTGTCTTAATATTTCTGAAAATAGCTTAGAGCTTGGTGGATGGCCTGAAAGAGTCTTGGAGACCTCCAGGGGTTTACAGATCATGCTATGAGAGCTGCTGCTTTGGGTTGTTGCTCTTCTGTCAAAGATGTTGTTAGGCTGAAGTGGGTTGACCATTCGTTAAAAATATTTAGTGGGAGAGTATTGTTTTTAAGGAAGGGAGGTTGACTCTGATACTCAATGAGGGCCTACTTGATTTCCAGTTTTATTTGTGGGCTGGGGATGAGGCAGATTGTATAGGACATAAGTGGCATGCCTTTTTTATGAAACACTTCCCATTATGTCTTTTAATTCTGTTTAATTGAAACAATCTGGGAGAACAGAGGAAAGTAGCAGGATTTCAAGGGACTGGTACAGCAGGCAGGATGGCTAGTATTGCCATCTATCCTCTAAGAATTATACCTTAGCGGTATATAGAAAGGGAATCCTCTCTCTGTTTATTGGGTGATTTCAAAAGTAGAGACTTAAGAAACAAAACAGGTAAAAAGTAATACAGGAAATTTAGGAACTACAGAAAAGTACAAAACAGAAGTCACCCATAATTCCACCACCTGAGGTTACCAACATGTTAATGGTAATATAAAGGGAAAATGCGTTTGTGTGTTGTGACACAGCAGTTACTGATCATCAAGGAGCAATTCAGATTATTTGTAACTATCTGCATTGGTGCTCTCCATTTAACTGTATTCGTCACAGGGCTGTAGAGTTGACAGCTCCCAGCAGTGCTCATGGATGGAGCGTGATTGGTGCCTTCCAGAGTTAGGCGGTGCTGCAGCTCTGCCACGTACAAAATGCACATGAATCGTGGTATAAATATATTCAAAAATCAAAGGTCACTTCGGAGTCTTACAATTTCATGATTTTGTTAAACATAGTTTCCTATTAATGAGGAAAAGATACTTTTATCACTTGGGAGAAAACTTTGTATTCAATAATAGGGGTAACAGGTAGTACAGAAAATGTTATAGAAAGTCATCAGTTTTTTTCATTTTCTTAATCGTAAGGTTTAACTCTAGTGCCTGATGACCAGAGCCAGAAGTACAGATCTCCAGGAAATTCAGCCACTGTAGAGAAACCCACGCCCTTCTTACCATCATATATCTACCAGAATCAAACCCAAGAAAAAAAACACACTTCCAACATTTTATCCGATGAACAAAACAACTTCCGTAGAACTACTCATCCAGATTTTGTTTTAACTTCAAAAAGTGGTGCTTCTCCCAATTTGTTTTATGAGGCGCAACATCAAGAAGCACTTGTGAAAAAAAATGATTTGAAGGAAGAAAACCATAACCATCCTAAAGGTGAGTTACTTATTTTTCTCTCTTCTGTAGTTAACTGACAGTGTCACCTGGTTGTTCTAAGACAAGAAAAGTCCTTTCTGCATTTTTTCCTTGTCCCTTGCATCTTTTTTTTTTTTTTTTTTTTTGCGGTTATGCGGGCCTCTTACTGTTGTGGCCTCTCCCATTGCGGAGCACAGGCTCCGGACACGCAGGCTCAGCGGCCATGGCTCACGGCCCCAGCCACTCCACGACATGTGGGATCTTCCCGGACCGGTGGGGCATGAACCGCGTCCCCTGCATCGGCAGGCGGACTCTCAACCACTGAGCCACCAGGGAAGCCCTCCCCTGCATCTTTAATTGTGAGATCCTACCTGCTACACAGCCACTGAGCCTGGATAGGACACAGAACCAGACATAGAATTTGTGACTTTCCAGGAACAAATTGCAGGACAACTCATGCCAATTTCAAACCTCGCGTGGCAGCGTGGGTCTTCAAAAAGGGAGGCAGCGAGTTCTGCATGCACCATTTTCCTTGAGACCTTAGAAAAGTTTAAAATTGAGTTAAAATGTGTGTGCTAGTGGTGGGGCACAGGATAGAAGATGTGAAGTGTGAGCAGTAGGTTGGTGATGGGAGTTATTACTCACAAAAGGAATCCCCCTAACCCAGACACTCGTCGCTGGCCCTCTGTGTTCCCAGAACCCAGCATGTGCCTGCCGGAGAACTGGCACTCAGTGTCTGATGGTCCAAACTCATGGAGCTCTCGAGGCATTTCTAGTATATTTTCTTCTTGTCCTTTTTTTAAAAATTTTTTTAAGTCCTGTTGCTGTGCTCACTCCCTGGCCTTTTTTTCCCCCTCCACATTTTGTAATCATAAAATATTGTATAATAAATTGTGTTCTTTTCCCACTCAACATGGAAAATGCTATGGTACGTTCTGTAGCCTTCATAACCGTAATTTTAATGGTTGTCATCTTTATGCAGATCATCAAATAATATATCAGTATTTAATGTTCTTTGTGGTAGGACTGAGTCATTTCCATTATTTTTAATTTAGTTTTCAATTTTAATGGTGTTTTTATGTATATGTTCCTTAGAGTAAGTTATAGAAAAACACAAATGATATGGCAAAAGGTGTCTATACTTACAGTTTAGGATTGGGCAGTTTTGGGATAAAAACTTATTCCTAATTTCGAGTAATTCCTGGGTTTAAAGAGGTCGTGTCTCTTCCTTATTTTTTAAACAGTACTCTCCCTTAACCTTTTCAATTTTTTTTTTTTTTTGGCCGCACTGTGCAGCATACGGAACTTCCCCTACCAGGGATCAAACCCGTGCCCCTTGCAGTGGAAGTGCAAAGTCTTAACTATTGGACCACCAGGGAAGTCCCCTTAACCTTTTATTTTGGAAAATTTCAAACATCCAGAAAAGTTGAAAGACCACTGCTGTAATTACCAGTATACCTACCACCTACATGCAACAGTTGATATTTTTCCATATTTACTTTGTCTATCTATATTTGTATGTGTGTGTATATACCTGTATCTATACTTAAATTTATATCTGTATTTACATCTGTATATAGTTTGCTGAGTCATTTCATTGCAAATAATATGCAGACATTATATCATTTCAAATATCAAGTAAAAATTAGGACATTCTTCTATATAACCACAATACTGTTATTATACCTAGGGACCTTATCTATGCAAATGCAATTCAGAATTCTCCCTATGATCCCAAAATTGCCTTTTAAAGGTGTTTTTTTAAAAATAGGATCCAGTCAAGGTTTATGTATTACATTCAGTTGTTACAACTCTTTATTTTATTCTTTTTGTTTTGTTTTGTTTTTCCGGCCGCACAACGAGGCGTGCGGGATCTCAGTTTCCCGACCAGAGATAGAACTCATGCCCCCTGCATTGGGAGCATGGAGTCTTAACCACTGGACCACCAGGGAAGTCCTTTAGTCTTTTTTAACTTAGGAAAGCCCACACCTTTTTCTCCATAACATTAAACTTTTGAAGACTTGTGTTTTTTTCTTTTTTTTTAAACATCTTTATTGAAGTATAATTGCTTTACAGTGTTGGGTTAGTTTCTGCTGTATAACAAAGTGAATCAGCTGTACATATACATATATCCCCATATCCCCTCCCTCTTGAGCCTCCCTCCCACCCTCCCTATCCCACCCCTCTAGGTGGTCACAAAGCACTGAGCTGATCTCCCTGTGCTATGCAGCTGCTTCCCACTAGATATCTATTTTACATTTGGTAGTGTACATATGTCCATGCCACTCTCTCACTTCGTCCCAGCTTACCCTTCCCCCTCCCTGTGTCCTCAAGTCCATTCTCTACATCTGTGCCTTTATTCCTGTCCTGGCCCTAGGTTCTTCAGAACCACTTTTTTTTTTTTTTTTTTAGATTCCATATATATGTGTTAGCGTATGGTATTTGTTTTTCTCTTTCTGACTTGCTTCACTCTGTATGACAGTCTCTAGGTCCATCCACCTCACTGCAAATAACTCAATTTCGTTTCTTTTTATGGCTGAGTAATATTCCATTGTATATATATGCCACATCTTCTTTATCCATTCATCTGTCGATGGGCACTTAGGTTGCTTTCATGTCCTGGCTATTGTAAATAGAGCTGCAATAAACATTGTGGTACATGGCTCTTTGAATTGTGCTTTTCTCAGGGTATATGCCCAGTAGTGGGATTGCTGGGTCGTATGCCAGTTCTATTTTTAGTTTTTTAAGGAACCTCCATACTGTTCTCCATAGTGGCTGTATCAATTTACATTCCCACCAACAGTGCAAGAGGGTTCCCTTTTCTCCACACCTTCTCCAGCATTTATTGTTTGTAGATTTTTTGATGATGGCCATTCTGACTGGTGTGAGGTCATTGTACTATACCTCATTGTAGTTTTGATTTGCATTTCTCTAATGATTAATGATGTTGAGTAGTCTTTCCTGTGTTTGTTGGCAGTCTGTATGTCTTCTTTGGAGAAATGTCTATTTAGGTCTTCTGCCCATTTTTGGATTGGGTTGTTTGTTTTTTTGATATTGAGCTGCATGAGCTGCTTGTAAATTTTGTACATTGAATTCTTTGTCAGTTGTTTCATTTGCAAATATTTTCTCCCATTCTGAGGGTTGTCTTTTCGTCTTGTTTATGGTTTCCTCTGCTGTGCAAAGCTTTTAAGTTTCACTAGGTCCCATTTGTTTATTTTTGTTTTTATTTCCATTTCTCTAGGAGGTGGGTCAGAAAGGATCTTGCTGCGATTTATGTCATAGAGTGTTCTGCCTGTGTTTTCCTCTAAGAGTTTTATAGTGTCTGGCCTTAACATCTAGGTCTTTAATCCATTTTGAGTTTATTTTTGTGTATGGTGTTAGGGAGTGTTCTAATTTCATTCTTTCACATGTAGCTGTCCAGTTTTCTCAGCACCACTTATTGAAGAGGTGGTTTTTTCTCCATCGTATGTTTTTGCCTCCTTTATCAAAGATAAGGTGACCATATGTGCATGGGTTTATCTCTGGGCTTTCTATCCTGTTCCTTGATCTGTATTTCTGTTTTTGTGCCAGTACCATACTGTCTTGATTACTGTAGCCTTGTAGTATAGTCTGAAGTCTGGGAGCCTGATTCCTCCAACTCCATTTTTCTTTCTCAAGATTGCTTTGGTTATTTGGGGTCTTCTGTGTTTCCATACCAATTGTGAAAGTTTTTGTTCTAGTTCTGTGAAAAATGTCATTGGTAGTTGACAAGGTGGGGATTGCCTTGAATCTGTAGACTGCTTTGGGTAGTATAGTCATTTTCACAATGTTGATTCTTCCAACCCAAGAACATGGTATATCTCTCCATCTGTTGGTATCATCTTTATTTTCTTTCATCAGTGTCTTATAGTTTTTTGAGTACAGGTCTTTTGTCTCCTTAGGTAGGTTTATTCGTAGGTATTATATTCTTTTTGTTGCAGTGGTAAATGGGAGTGTTTCCTTAATTTCTCTTTCAGATTTTTCATCATTAGTGTATAGGAATGCAAGAGATTTCTGTGCTTTAATTTTGTGTCCTTCCACTTTACCAAATTCATTGATTAGCTCTAGTAGTTTTCTGGTAGCATCTTTAGGATTCTCTATGTATAGTATCATGTCATCTGCAAACAGTGACAGTAAATAAAACAGTGACAGTTTTCTTTTTTTTCCTATTTGGATTCCTTTTATTTCTTTTTCTTCTCTGATTGCTGTGGCTAAAACTTCCAAAACTGTGCTGAATAACAGTGGTGAGTGTGGGCAACCTTGTCTTGTTCCTGATCTTAGTGGAAGTGATTTCAGTTTTTCACCATTGAGAACGATGCTGGCTGTGGGTTTGTCATATATGGCCTTTATTATGTTGAGGAAAGTTCCCTCTATGCCTCCTTTCTGGAGGGTTTTTTATCAAAAATCGGTGTTGAATTTTGTCGAAAGCTTTTTCTTCATCTATTGAGAATATAATATGGTTTTTATCCTTCAGTTTGTTAATATGTTGTATCCCATTGATTGATTTGTGTATATTGACGAATCCTTGCATTTCTGGGATAAACCCCACTTGATCATGGTGTATGATCCCTTTAATGTGCTGTTGGATTCTCTTGGCTAGTATTTTATTGAGGAGTTTTGCATCTGTGTTCATCCGTGATATGGGCCTGTAGTTTTGTTTTTTTGCGACATCTTTGTCTGGTTTTGGTATCAGGGTGATGGTGGCCTCGTAGAATGAGTTTGAGAGTGTTCCTCTCTGCTGTATTTTGGAAGAGTTTGAGAAGGATAGATGCTAGTTCTTCTCTAAATGTTTGATAGAATTCACCTGTGAAGCCATCTGGTCCTGCACTTGTGTTTGATGGAAGATTTTTAATCACAGTTTCAATTTCAGTGCTTGTGATTTGTCTGTTTATATTTTCGATTTCTTCCTGGTTCAGTCTTGGAAGGATGTGCTTTTCTAAGAATTTGTCCATTTCTTCCAGGTTGTCCATTTTATTGGCATAGAGTTCTTGTAGTAATCTCTCATGATCCTTTGTATTTCTGCACTGTAAGTTGTAACTTCTTCTTTTTCATTTCTAATTCTGTTGATTTGAGTCTTCTCCCTTTTTTTTCTTGATGAGTCTGGCTAGTAGTTTATCAATTTTGTTTATCTTCGCAAAGAACCAGCTTTTAGTTTTATTGATTTTTGCTCTTGTTTCCTTCATTTCTTTTTCATTGATTTCTGATCTGATCTTTATTTCTTTTCTTCTGCTAACTTTGGGTTTTTTGTTTTTCTTTCTCTAATTGCTTTAGGTGTAAGTTTAGATTGTTTTTTTGAGGTGTTCCTTGTTTCTTGAGGTAGGATTGTATTGCTATAAACTTCCCTCTTAGAACTGCTTTTGCTGCATCCCATAGGTTTTGGGTCGTTATGTTTTCATGTCATTTGTTTTTAGGTATTTTTTGATTTCCTCAGTGATCTCTTGGTTATTTAGTAGTGTATTGCTTAGCCTCCATGTGTTCGTGTTTTTTGCAGATTTTTTCTGTAATTGATATCTAGTCTCATAGTGTTGTGGTCGGAAAAGATACTTGGCACGATTTCAATTTTCTTAACTTTACCAAGGCTTGATTTGTGACCCAAGATATGATCTATCCTGGAGAATGTTCCATGAGCACTTGAGAAGAAAGTGTATTCTGTTGTTTTTGGATGGAATGTCCTAGAAATATCAATTAAGCCCATCTTGTTTACTGTATCATTTAAAGCTTGTGTTTATTTATTTTCATTTTGGATGATCTGTCTGTTGGTGAAAGTGGGGTGTTAAAGTCCCCTACTATGGTTGTGTTACTGTCGATTTCCCCTTTTATGACTGTTAGCATTCGCCTTATATATTGAGGTGTTCCTATGTTGGGTGCATAAATATTTACAATTTTTATATCTTCTTCTTGAATTGATCCCTTGATCATTATGTAGTGTCCTTCTTTGTTTCTTGTAATAGTCTTTAAAGTCTGTTTTGTCTGATACGAGAATTGCTACTCCAGCTTTCTTTTGATTTCCATTTGCATGGAATATTTGTTTCCATCCCCTCACTTTCTGTCTGTATGTGTCCCTAGGTCTGAAGTGGGTCTCTTGTAGACAGCATATATATGGGTCTTGTTTTTGTATCCATTCAGCCAGTCTATGTCTTTTGGTTGGAGCATTAAACCATTTACATTTAACGTGCTTATTGATATGTATGTTCCTATTACCATTTTCTTAATTGTTTTGGGTTTGTTATTGTAGGTCTTTTCCTTCTCTTGTGTTTCCTGCCTAGAGAAGTTCCTTTAGCATTTGTTGTAAAGCTGGTTTGGTGGTGCTGAGTTCTCATAGCTTTTGTCTGCAAAGGTTTTAATTTCTCCATTGAATCTGAATGAGATCCTTGCTGGGTAGAGTAATGTTGGTTGTAGGTTTTTCCCTTTCATCACTTTAAATATGTCCTGCCACTCTCTTCTGGCTTGCAGAGTTTCTACTGAAAGATCAGCTGTTAACCTTATGGGGATTCCCTTGTATGTTATTTGTTGCTTTTCCCTTGCTGCTTTTAATATTTTTTCTTTGTATTTAATTTTTGATAGGTTGATTAATACGTGTCTTCGTGTGTTTCTCCTGTATGGGACTCTCTGTGCTTCCTGGACTTGATTGACTATTTCCTTCCCATATTAGGGCAGTTTTCAGCTATAATCTCTTCAGATATTTTCTCAGTCCCTTTTTTTTTTCTTCTGGGAGGCCTCTCTTTCGAATGTTGATGCGTTTAGTGTTGTCCCAGAGGTCTCTGAGACTGTCCTCAATTCTTTTCACTCTTTTCTTTGTTCTGCTCTGTGGTAGTTATTTCCACTATTTTATCTTCCCAGTCACTTATCCGTTCTTCTGCCTCAGTTATTCTGCTATTGATTCCTTCTACAGAATTTATAATTTCATTTATTGTGTTGTTCATCATTGTTTGTTTGCTCTTTAGTTCTTCTAGGTCCTTGTTAAATGTTTCTTGTATTGTCTCCATTCTATTTCCAAGATTTTGAATCATCTTTACTATCATTACTGTGAATTCTTTTTCAGGTAGGCTGCCTATTTCCTCTTCCATTTTTTTGGTCTGGTGGGTTTTTACTTTGTTCCTTTATCTGCTGTGTATGTCTCTGTCTTCTCATTTTGCTTAACTTACTGTGTTTGCCGTCTCCTTTTTGCAGGCTGCAGGTTCTTAGTTCCTGTTACTTTTGGTGTCTCCCCTCAGTGGGTAAGGTTGGTTCAGTGGGTTGTGTAGGCTTCCTGGTGGAGGGGACTGGTGCCTGTGTTCTGGTGGATGAGGCTGGATCTTGTCCTTCTGGTGGGCAGGACTGCGTCTGGTGGTGTGTTTTGGGGTGTCTGTGAACTTTTTATGATTTTAGGCAGCCTCTCTGCTAACGGTTGGGGTTGTGTTCCTGTCTTGCTAGTTGTTTGGCATAGGGTGTCCAGCACTGTAGATTGCTGGTTGTTGAGTGGAGCTGGGTCTTAGCGTTGAGATGGAGATCTCTGGGAGAGCTTTTGCTGTTTGATATTATGTGGGGCCAGGAGGTCTCTGGTGGATCAATGTCCTGAACTTGTCTCTCCCACCTCAGAGGCTCAGGCCTGACACCCGGCCAGAGCACCAAGACCCTGTCAGCCACTTGGCTGAGAAGAAAAGGGAGGAAAAAAAAAGAAAGAAAAAAATAAAGTTATGAAAATAAAAAATATTATTAAAAATTTTTTTTAAAAAGTAATAGAGAAAGAAAGATGAGAGCAACCAAACCAAAAAGCAAATCCAGCAATGATAACGAGCGCTAAAAACTATAGTAAAAAAACAACAACAACAAAAAACAGAACTGTAGGACAAATGGTAAAAGCAAAGCTATACAGACAAAATCACACAAAGAAGCGTACACATGCACACTCTCAAAAAGAGAAAAGGAAAAAAAACATGGAAGAGAGCAACCAAATCAATAAACAAATCTACCAATCATAATAAGCTCTAAATACTAACCTAAAATGAGCCTAAAACTAGAAACAAATTGATGCAGAAAGCAAATCCCAAGGTGCTCCCAAAGTCCACTGCCTCAATTTGGGATGATTCGTTGTCTATTCAGGTGTTCCACAGTTGCAGGTGCATCAAGTTGATTGTGGAGATTTAATCCGCTGCTCCTGAGGCTGCTGGGAGAGATTTCCCTTTCTCTTCTTTGTTCTTCACTCAGACAAGACAGGGTTAAATGAGCAGCTGATTCGGGGGCTCTGGCTCACTCAGGCTGGGGGAGGGCGGGGTACGGAATGCAGGGTGAGCCTGCGGAGGCAGAGGCTTGCGTTATGTGGCGTGCTCTGTGTTTTCCCAGGGAACTTTTCCCTGGGTCACAGGACCTGGCTTGGCGGGCTGCACAGGTCCCCGGGGTGCATGCATGTGTGTGTGTGTGGATAGTGAGCTGTGCTCGCACACAGGCCTCTTGGTGGCGGCAGCAGCAGCCTTAGTGTCTCTTGCCCGTCTCTGGGGTCTGCGCTGATAGCTGCGGCTCACTCCCATCTCTGGAGCTTGTTTAGATGGTGCTCTGAACTCCCCCTCCTCGCGCATCCCGAAACTGGTTTCTTGCATCTTAGGCAGGTCCTGACTTTCCCGGGCTCCCTCTCGGCTAGCTGTGGCATACTAGCCCCTTCAGGCTGTGTTCACGCAGCCAACCCCAGTCCTCTCCCTGGGATCCGACCTCTGAAGCCCGAGCCTCAGCTCCCAGCCCCCCGCCTGCCTCGGCCGGTGAGCAGACAAGCCTCTCGGTCTGGTGAGTGCTGGTCGGCACCGATCCTCTGTGCAGGAATCTCTCCGCTTTGCCCTCCGCACCCCTGTTGCTGCGCTGTCCTCTGTGGCTCCGAAGCAATCCCCCCTGCCACCCCCTGTCTCTGCCAGTGAAGGGGCTTCCTAGTGTGTGGAAACTTTTCCTCCTTCACAGCTCCCTCCCAGAGGTGCAGGTCCCGTCCCTATTCTTTTGTCTCTGTTTTTCCTTTTTTCTTTTGCCCTACCCAGGTATGTGGGGAGTTTCTTGCCTTTTGGGAAGTCTGAGGTCTTCTGCCAGCATTCAGTAGGTGTTCTGTAGGAGGTGTTCCACATGTAGATGTATTTCTGATGTATTTGTGGGGAGGAAGGTGATCTCCACGTCTTCTCCGCCGTCTTGAAGGTCCCCAAGTAAAGTTTTATTTTGTAGAATTACCTCTAAAACAGTGCCCTATGCTTCAGAGTACTTCGTCATTACAGCTCTGTTAGTTTCCTGTTGCTGCCCTGTCAAGAAACTGTGACCACGTGGTGTATAAATTCTTTACCAAGGCAACTCGACACCTTCTTTCTCTGGGGCTGAATCCCCGCTGCTCACGTGCTCTTTACACACACAGATCTTCCATTGACTGCAGTGGGAATTCTCAGTGTGTAAAAGGAGAGGTTTTCCTGTCTGCAGACTTTCACTTGTCAACTTCACAGAATGGCTTCCGGATTATTTTGGGGGTCTCAATCCTCAGTAGCTTGCCAGCGAAGTTGATCTGAATTGAGAACTCAACACCAGGTACTTTGAATAAAGTCCAGTCCTAGCAAAGGACTTGCTTCAAAATTTAATCAGGTAACAGTGTGACCGAACAGAGGGCTCACTGTCAGGTCACAGAAGCCAGTACTATGGCACGGGTTTTTGAGAGGTCAGCTGGAAAGGAGAGCAGAATGTTGTGTTTTCATTAGCATTTTGTAGTTTTTCTTTATCATATTAAAGAATTCCTTGAGAGTTCTAAAATCTTTGGTATACATTAAGTTTAACTAAATATTTTTTTAGTACAGTAACTTGTAAAATTCTCAAGTTTTAAGACTTTAATATGCTTTTTTTTGAACTAAATTGTTGCTCATTTTTATCCTAGGAGAAGGTATTTTACCATGTTCGGAGAAAATGACGGAACAGATTCAGGAAGGGAACAATACGAACTTAAAAAAAATTGGTGATTCCTCAGAAGTGGTTAATGTTGAAGAAAGGTATCATCCATGTTGGAAGGAATTTAGTATAATAGTCATTATTATTGGTACTTTCTCTGAAAGATCCATAGTTTTCTTGTTTTTGCCTGGGTATGCTTTTAAGTAAAGGGTTGAAGATCCAACGTATTCCGTGTTGTCAGCAACAGAAGCAGGTTGGGGAGATACATCAGGTTGACAATGTCCTGGAAAAATGGAGCAAAGTTTTTTCACCTAAGGGAAATATCTGGATAAAACTAAGCTTCTCTCAAATCAGTAAATCCTGTTTTGGAGAAGAGAAAAAAGTCATATATTGGAGTCTTACACATGGTATCACTTACAAATAATAATTGAGTGAGTGTGGTTACAGAATTTAAAAATTTTATGTCAGAGATAAAATATCAACTGTGAGGTTGTTTATTATTTTCTTAAGTATTTTAATATACATTATGGAGTGGCAAATGACTTTTGATTGTTTTGTTTATATTATTAAGGATCTTAAAGAATGTATTTAATGAACTATTTTTGAAATATTTTTATTTATGTAATGAATATGTTACTTCAAAAGTTAATCTAAGGTCAGTAGGTGGACTTCAGAGGGGTTTTTCAAATCATGTGTAGAGTGACGTGTATTTCTGTGCTTTGGAGGATGGAGTGGGATTGTAGCTTTTAATAGATTCTCGGAGGGGATCTGAGACTTTGAAAAAGGTTAGTTCTCAGTCAGGCACAGTAAGTGTAAAGTATTCACCACATGATTTGAATGTTAAATAACTTTACTTTCATGATTAGGCCTATTAAAGCTGCTATTAGAGAAAGGAAACAAACCTTTGAAGACTACTTAGAAGAACAAATTCGGTTGGAAGAACAAGAACTGAAACAAAAACAGCTAAGGGTTAGCATTTCCACTATTTTGATTAAATTATCTTAAGGCTTTAGAGATTTGTTTATAATTTGCTTTAAAAATAACTTTGAGATTACTTGGATATACCAGAATTAATTCAAATATTCTTTTATTTTAGGAAGCAGAAGGATCCTTGCTAATCAAAGCAAAACCAAAACAACCATTCTTAAAACGAGGAGAAGGTTTAGCTAGATTTACTAATGCTAAATCTAAGTTTCAGAAGGGGAGAGAAAATAAACTAGTCACTACTCAGAGCATTTCAGAGGACAAACCTGTGTTTAAATTAGATAAACAACAATTCCAGCGGAAAACTGCTCATATAAATAAAGAACTGTGTACAGAGAACCTTCCTGTCAAAAAGAACAGTAAAGCCAGAACAAAGAGTGGTTGTGTCACACTCAGTCAGAAGCCGAAAGTGCTTAAGGGTAACAATAGGAAAAGTCTCTCTCCAGCAGGGTTGAAGATACTGGCAGGGAAGAAATGTGATGGGCAATTTAGAGGTCAGATCAATTTAGAAAAAACGGTAGAATCTAATAATAAAGAAAATGTACCCGAGTGTACAAAGCCTTGTGACGTTGGTTGCAAAATCTGGAATAATACACAAGGTAAAGACAGACTTTCCCTTTTGACAGGGCTGGCCAGCTGCGTGGCTTCTAAGAGCCCAATAAGTGAGACTTCGAAAGAGTCAGAATCTTCTCTTGACATTTCTCTTCAGAAAAAGTTAGAGAATTGGGAACGAGAAAAGGAAAAGGAAAATTTGGAATTAGATGAATTTTTGTTTTTAGAACAAGCTGCTGATGAAATATCATTTTCTAGTAATTCCTCATTTGTGCTGAAGATCTTAGAGAGGGACCAACAGATCTGCAGAGGTCACCGGCTGTCTTCTACTCCTGTCAAAGCTGTGCAGCAAGAGAAGACAGCAACACCGGATCCCATCAGTGAGCGTAACCAAAATGAGGATCCAGACCGTACCAAGTGTGAAAGTAAGGGTGAGTGTGAGGTTGCACCCAAACAACCTGATTCAGTATCCTCACCTGATGGATCGCAGGAACAGTCCTGTAAAGTCAATAGGAAAGTGTTCCAAATGAGCACTTGTGAAAGTCCAACTAGGTGGAATGCAAGTGATGACGAGGGTGGTACAGACAGTGATGATAGCACTGATTCTGAGGAACACCTTGATGTCACCATAAAACCATCAACTGAGGATAAAGAAAGGGGTTTCAGCAGCAGAGAAGATAGTCCCCAAGTCTGTGATGGGAGGGGACCTTTAAGGGACACCAGGACTCAAGAAGAAGATAAGAGGAGAGATGTTGATTTAGATTTGTCTGATAAAGATTACAGTAGTGATGAGTCTATCATAATAGCAGGCTTGAAAAATAAAGCTTCTGATTCCTCAAGAAGATACCCATCTATGAGTAAAATTGACTTTGATGATGAAAGAACTTGGACTGACCTTGAAGATGATTCATTTAAACATGATGTTATTCTTGGGAATGAAGCCATTTATGGGACTCCCCAGACAACCTACCCTAATAAGAGTGAAAAATGTGTACTGGACAAAACAATAAAAAGGAAGGTTGCAGCAGTCAAGAAGGGAGAAGACTTGAATAAATCCAGTAGGAGCACAAGTCCTCCTCCTACCTCGGATCTGATGATGAAATTCTTCCCTTCTTTGAAACCAAAATCAAAATCAGATTCACGCTTGGGAAATGAACCCAAGTTAAACATGAATCAAGACCAGCCGCCTGGTAAGTCAGAGCATCGTAAACTATGTAATGGAATGTTACAAGTTTAACATTTATTTTATCAGTATGTTGTCAGAATGCTTATTAAAATCCCAACCTTTCTAGTTGCTCAGTGGAAATCTAGTAGGTGATTTGTTAAAGTTTAGTAGGTAATTTGTTAAAATTGGATTTGTTTTGTGAATCTAATGTAATAGTCACTAGTATAAGAGTTTTGGAAGAATTGTGATTTCAGATTTTTCAAATTTTAGCTTGTATCTTATTGCTAAGGCTTTAAAATTAATTATTATAAAGTGAGATAACATTTAAGTTTCTTTTATAACCAGGGAATACCCAATTTGTGGTTTGTGCTACTGTGCTACCTCTGTGTGTGTGTATTTTTTTAATTAGTTTTTTTTTTTTTTTTTTAACTACCTCATGCATTTACTTGCCAAATATGATGAGGAAGAAACACAGTAAAATTCAAGTTTCTTTTCTTCCCCAGACCTGGGCTCTTAGAGACATCAACTTTCCCATTTCATTTGTGTATTCTACAAAGATTCCATGCATATGAAAGCATATGTGTGAATGTGTATATAATCCTCCTTTCTGCACAAGTGAAAACATATTTTTTATATACTGTTCTGCACCTTGCTTATAATAAATTTTGAAGATTGTTCTAATACACACACATCTGTCTCATTCCATTTAGTGGCTATATAGTATTTAGTTTATGTGATGGATTTTATTAACTTATATTGAAAACAGTTTTCCATTATGTCATGTTATAAACTCTGAATGTCTAGCAAAGCATAGGTGCTTTAAAATAGAAATTATAACTTAAGGTAATTTTTAAAAATACTCTGATTTTAAAAATATATTTTAAAAATAATATTTTTTGCAGGAATTTTGGAAGTTAAAAAGTGTAGAAGCAAAAATGTTTATAACTACCCTATCCTAAAGTAATTGTGATATCATTTTGGGATATTTCTTTCCATTCATTTTTCCTGTGTATTTTTCATATGGTAGAGACATATATTATAACTCGCCTCATCCTTTTTGACCAGGTGTATAATATGCTTTGGCCATATCATTAAAACTCTTTGTATACTTTAAAAATGGTTGCAGAGCATTATATGAATGTAGCATAATTTTATTTAGTAATTTCTTTAATGTTGGATACGAATTATTTTTCACTATTAGAAATAACACTTCAATGCATATTTTTGTGCAGGACGATTTGTATGATTTTATAAGTTCGTTCTTTAACTAGATTTTTAGAAGTGGGTCTAAGGGTAGATAATGTGTATTTTAGCCTTGTGTTACAAATCAGGGTTATTTTCCAGAAGGGTAGTTGAAGGACGAAAGCATTGGCTATTTTCTTAAGTAGCAAATTTGATACTGAAAAAGATCTTAATTTGTATTTCTTTGATCAGTGGGGGGTAAACTTTGATTTTGGTGTTCATTAGAGCTTTAAGTCTCTTGCAAATACTTATTCATGTTCTTAAGCTATTTATGTATGTTGGTTTAAAAATTTATTTGATTTTTTAAATACATAACGTTCATTTGTCATCAGATTGATACTCTTGAGGTAGAATGATTTGATTCTTAAATTTAGGCTGTTCCATCTGGAAAGTTCGACTATAATAATTTTTTTCTTTGCTTTTAGAAGCATTGTTTCTAATGCATTTTAATAGTACAGGTGTTTACCATATTTTTGGCTCCTAGTGTAATAGCTAGCTAGTGTTTTGCTGTTGAAAGCTTTTTGTGAAGTTCAGTATTTGTGGCTTATCTTATAGGTGACAATGTTCGATCTCAAGTTTTGAGAGAGAAAGTTATTGAATTGGAAACAGAAATAGAAAAATTTAAAGCTGAGAACACATCTTTAGCTAAACTTCGCATTGAACGAGAAAGTGCCTTGGAAAAACTCAGGTAAGTTTGCATCTGTAAGTGGGGGAAAATGTATAGTGATTCAGCTTTATTTTTAAGATTATATCTGAACTATTTGAAACAATTCTTATTAATCCAACAATAAAAGTGAGAGAAGGAAGTGAAATAAATACCACATAAGAATTTTTAAATAAAATGACCCACTGTGGTCAAAGATGTCTTAAAAGGAGAATTGTCGTCGTGATGAGGTCATAAATTGAAATTTGAAAAGCAGTGTGGAGCTCTGAATTCAAGGGCCACCTTGGCCAGTGTATTAGTTTCCTAGGGCTGCTGTAACAAAATATACACAAACTGGATGGCTTGAAACAACAGAAATTTATTTTCTCATGGTTCTGGGGGCTAGAAGCCTGAAGTCAAGGTGTCAGCAGAGCCATGCTTTCTCTTGTATCTTCTGTTGGTTTCTGGTGATCCTTAGCCTTCCTTGGCTCACAGCTGGACATGTGGGTTGTGTCTATGTTTGGGTTATTGTGAATAATGCTGAGGAACCACCATACTGTTCTGCACAGTGGCTACACCAGTTTACATCATGTTAGTTGATTTGTGTGTGTTGAACCAACTCTGCATCCTGGGGATGAATCCCACTTGGTCATGGTATTTAATGCTTTTACTGTGCTGTTGAATTTGGTTTGCTAGTATTTTTTTGAGGATTTATACACTGTATTCATCAGGGACATTAGCCTATAGTTTTCCTTTCTTGTATCTTTGTCTGCCATTGGTATCAGAGTGATAACTAACCTCACAGAATGAGTTTGGAAGTATTCCTTCTTTTCTTGGAAGAGTTTAAAAAAGAATGGTGTTAATTTTTTCTTTGACTGGTGGAATTTACCTGTGAAGCCATCTGGTCCTGGACTTGTGTTTTTTGGGAGGTTTTTGATTACTGATTCAGTCTCCTTATTTGTTATTGGTCAGTTCAGACTTTCTGTTTCTTCTGGATTCAATTTTGGTAGGTTGTATGTTTCTAGGAATTTAACCATTCTAAGTTATCCAGTAGTTTCGAATATAATTATTCATATATGGTCCTTTTTATTTCTGAGGCATCTGTTATAATGCCTTGCCTTTCATTTATGACTTTATTTATTTGAGTCTTCTCTCTTTTTTCTTAGTCTAGCTAAAGGTTTGTTGATTTTTTTCCTCCTGGACTCCCATAATGCGTATATAGTTCATCCATACAGTAGTGTCCCATAAATCCTGCAGGCTTTCTTCACTCCTTTTCATTCTTTTCCCTTTTTTCCCCCTCTGACTGAATAACTTTGAATCACCAGTCTTCACAGTCACAGATTCTCTCTTCTGCTTGAGTCTGCTGTTGACGTTTTCTGTTGCATTTATCACTTCATTCCTTGTATTCTTCAGCTCTAGAATTTCTTTTTGGTTCTTTTTTTATGATTTCTGGCTCTTCGTTGAACTTATTGTTTTGTTTCACATATCGTTTCCCTGGTTTAATTGAGCTGTTTTTCTGTGTTTTCTTGTAGCTTGCTGGGCTTCCTTAAAGCAATTGTTTTGTGCTCTGTGTCAGGTCATCTGTAGACCTCGATTTCTTTGGGATTGGTTACTGGAGCTTCATTAGTCCTTTGGTGGTGTCACGTTTGCCTGATTCTTGGTGATCTATGTGGACTTGTGTTGATGTCTTTGCATTTGAAAGAAGAAACACCTGTTTCTGTCTTTACAGACTGTCTTTGGCAGGTAAAGACCTTCTGCTGCTGGATCCCTGGACCGGTGGGTCTACTTTCAGGATCACAGTCAAGTGGGGTTGTAGCTGGGTCCACAGTTGGTAGGCCTGTTACCAGGGTTGCAGTCAGCTGTGGTTCCTGCTGGATCCCCAGTAGGACAGGACTACTTCTTGGACCACAGTCAGGCAGGGCTGGAGCTAGGTCATGGGGCTGCCTCATGGTCCACTGTTGAGTCTGTAGACAGGAGGTGTGTTTCCAGGCGTGAGGATGGGTGGGGCTCCTGCCAGGTTTCTGAGCAGCTTCCTACCAGGTCCCTGGGTGGGCAGGACTGACTCCGTACCACATAGAACAGGGCTGGAGCTAGGTCACAGGGCTGTGTCAGGATCTGTAGGCAGGAGCAAGGTCTGTGGGTCTCTTTCCAGGGGCATGAATGGGCATGGCTCCTCCTGGGTCCTTTGGCAGTGGGGCTGTTTTCAGTGCATCAGGACCACATTTGGTAAGCCTGGCACTGGGGCATGGGCCTGCCTTCTCTAAGTGGCTGTCCTTGACCTTAGGCTTCACCAGCGTTTCTCATTTCCTGCCTGAATCCTAGAGCTTCCACAAACGCACTTCTGTCTGTGGATGGCGTTTGTGTGGAAGGATGTGAGCCAGGGGCCTCTTGTTCCACAGTCTTGTGTCGTCCCTGTGCTCTTTACACAGCGTCCAGAAGGAGCCCGGGTCCTGACAGTTCCTCTGACCCGCGTGCTCCTAAGGTAAATACCAGGGTCTTCACAGTGGTCCACAGGCCCTAGTTAATCGCCCCGCCTCCCGCGCCCCCCACCCTTTTTCCCTGACGTTTTCTCCTACCGTTCTGTCTCTTTAGCCACACTGGCCTCCTGCCTGTTCTTTGAACACGTCAGGCACGTTCCTATCTCAGGGCTTTTGCATGTGGTGTTCCCTCTGCCTGAACTGTTTTGTCCAGATACCTCCATGGTGGTTCTCTCACGTCCCTCAGGTTTTACCTCAAATACTGCCTCAGCAAGATGACTCTGTCCATGAGTTCAGGCCCCTAACCTCCACACTCCCTAACCTCCACACTCCCTAACCTCCACACTCCCTAACCTCCACACCCCCTAACCTCCACACCCCCTAACCTCCACACCCCCTAACCTCCACACTCCCTAACCTCCACACTCCCTAACCTCCACACTCCCTAACCTCATTCCTTGCTTTATTCTTCTTAGCATTTCCAGTGTTCCATATATTTTACTTGTTAATCTTATTTATTGTCATCTGTCGCTCCCACTAGAATGTAAGAAGCTTTATAGGAGTATGGATATTTATTTTTCTCACTGTGGTTTCTCCAGTAGTGTAGTAGTGTAGTGTAGTGTACACGTAGTGTAGTACTTGAATCATAGTAGGTATGCAGTGAATGCTTGTTGAGTAGTGCTTTACTGAGTTAATTGACTGTTACTTCACTACTGTGGGCTGAAAATGGATTAACCAAAACTAGCAGCTCCTCAATTCCGGGTTGTCACTGGTGTTCCATTTTGGTACCACATGTGGATTACTGTACTGAGGTGGTCTCCTTAGATTATAACGTGGTTTGGTTGTTTTAGGAAAGAAATTGCTGACTTTGAACAACAGAAAGCAAAAGAATTGGCTCGAATAGAGGAGTTTAAAAAGGAGGAAATGAGGAAATTACAAAAGGAACGCAAAGTTTTTGAAAAGTATTCTACAGTTGCAAGAACTTTTCCGGATAAAAAAGAACGTGAAGAAATACAAGTATGTCAGTTCCTTACATTATACTCATATCAGTTAGTAAAGATGACAGTCTGGTAAGAATCTTAGAATTATTTGATGTGTCAAAGGGAAATTGGGTATCAGTTTATTAATCATCCATTGACTCAGCAAATAACCTGAGACATCAGGAACATCTTTTGTAGTCTTGACTTTTTTTTGTTTTTCAATTTTTTTTGGCCATGCCATGTGGCATGTAGGATCTTAGTTCCCCGACCAGGGATTGGACCCGTGCCCCCTGCATTGGAAGCACGGAGTCTTAACCACTGGACCGCCAGGGAAGTCCTGTAGTCTCGACTTAAAGAGTGAAATACATCAGTTCTTTTCTTACTGAAGGCTTCCCCAGAAAATGCTCCGATAATGACATGGATGTATTAACAAGCCAGGAGTTGGATATTCACCAGTGGAATGTGTTAATTTGTTTGACCCACCACACATTGTTCTGTTCATTTATAATAATTTAAGGCTTGTATACTAACTAGGTGTTTAACTCTAAAACTTGTAAACTGATAAGCCAAATCATCAGTCCTATTCATTTCAAAGTTAGAAATGGACATGATCAGAGGAAAGTAGTAGTTAAAAAGAACTAATGCATTTCTAGCTAAAACTATAAACCTTCTAGGAAAAAATGTAGGTGAATATATTTGCGACAGTGGCATCTGCAGAGGTTTCCAAGAGAAGACACAAAGAACTAAGTATAAAAGAAAAAGTGGATATATTGAATTTCATCAAAAGTAAAACTTCAATTTACCAAAATAAAAATTTTAAATGGCTTTCTATTATTTATAGCATAAAATACAAACTCATCTTCCACTTTCATATTTTACATACTAGTTTTTTTGAGTCCCGGCCTTTGCTTCCTTCCTTTCATATATAGTGCACCATCCTTGATTAGTCTTAGTACACACCTGTAGCTTCAGTTACCACATGCAGTGTCTATTAGGGTCTTTAATTCTATTTATTTCTGTAGGCGGAAACGTGCCATTATGTTTTTGTTCATGCTTGGTTTATTATATCTAATATGTTAGACTTTAATAATCTATTAAAGTTTTTATTTCAAAAGGTAATATATTCCTATTCAAAAGGTACAAAAAGATGTGCTGTGAAACCTCTCCGTCTCACCCTTGCCCTGGCACCTGATTTACGTTTCTTTTGAGGTATCCGGTGTTACCAATCTTTTGTATCTTTTCAGAGAAATTCTAAGCAAATACATATGTATATTCCCAATTAAAAAAAACCAAAAAGCAAATTAATGGTAGTATACTAAAATCATTTTACGTCTTAACGTAAAGAGCGTTCTCCTTTACCATTGAAAATAGATGCATTATAACAGCTGCATTGTATGGAAGTGCCGTAATCTACCTAACGAAGTATTTACGTTATTTCTGCTTTTTCTGTATATAAGAAGTGCTCTCCTGAACAACCCTGTACATACCTCCCCTCTCGCAGTCATTCTGCATAGTCATTTAACATGTGGTTATTGAGTACAGCCTGTATAGCAGGCATGCACTAGGAATGAGGTAGTGAACAAAATAAATTCATCCTTACCTGTTTGTAGCTTATGTACACAAGCATATCTGTGGGATAAAGTCCTGCAAATGAAATTTCTAGGCTAAAGGGTATGTACTTAGTAGATATTGCCAGATTATCCCTCCATAAATATCACGACAATCTTTTTTTTCTTTTTGGCTGCATTGGGTCTTCGTTGCTGCACGCGGGCTTTCTCTAGTTGTGGCGAGTGGGGGCTACTCTTCGTTGTGGTGCGCAGGCTTCTCATTGTGGTGGCTTCTCTTGCTGCAGAGCACGGGCTCTAGGCGCGTGGGCTTCAGTAGTTGCAGCACGTGGGCTCAGTAGTTGTGGCTCACAGGCTTAGTTGCTCCATGGCATGTGGGATCTTCCCGGACCAGGGCTCGACCTGTGTCCCCGGCATTGGCAGACGGATTCTTAACCACTGCGCCACCTGGGAAGTCCCTGTCATGCCAATTTAAAATTCTACTAGCAATTTTAAGAGTGTTTTTTGCTCTTTGCCTGAAAGGTAAAAGATAAAAATTCGTGTTAAACTTAATTGAATTTCTTTTCTCTTTCCCTCTCTCCCACTCTCCCTAACCCTCTCCGTTGGGTCTTAGTTGTGACATGCAGCATCTTTTGTTGTGGCTCACAGCATCTACATTGTGGTGCGCAGGCTTCTCTCTAGTTGTGGCGTGTGGGCTCTAGAGTGTGTGGTTTTAGTTGCCCCACAACATGTGGGATCTTAGTTCCCTGACCAGGGATAGAACCCACATCCCCTGCATTGGAAGGCATATTCTTTTTTTTTTTTTTAATTTTAAAAATAAAAAAAAAATTATTTTATTTATTTATTTTTGGCTGCTTTGGGTCTTCTTTGCTGCATGTGGGCTTTCTCTAGTTGTGGCGAGCGGGGGCTACTCTTCATTGCGGTGCGCAGGCTTCTCATTGCGGTGGCTTCTCTTGTTGCAGAGCATGGGCTCTAGGCATGTGGGTTTCAGTAGTTATGACATGTGGGCTCAGTAGTTGAGGTGCACAGGTTTAGTTGCTCCGCGGCATGTGAGATCTCCCCGGACCAAGGCTTGAACCTGTGTCCCCTGCATTGCCAGGCAGATTCTTAACCACTGTAACACCAGGGAAGCCCTGGAAGGCAGATTCTTTTTTTTAATTTTAATATTTGAATTTTATTTATTTTTTTATACCACAGGTTCTTATTAGTCATCAGTGTTATACACATCAGTGTATACATGTCAATCCCAATCGCCCAATTCAGCACACCACCATCCCCACCCCACCCCGTGGCTTTCCCCCCTTGGTGTCCATACATTTGTTCTCTACATCTGTGTCTCACCTTCTGCCCTGCAAACCGGTTGATCTGTACCATTTTTCCAGGTTCCACATACATGCGTTAATATACAATATTTGTTTTTCTCTTTCTGACTTATTTTACTCTGTATGACAGTCTCTAGATCCATCCACGTCTCAACAAATGACTCAATTTCGTTCCTTTTTATGGCTGAGTAATATTCCATTGTATATATGTACCACAAGTTCTTTATCCATTCGTCTGTTGATGGGCATTTAGGTTGCTTCCATGACCTGGCTATTGTAAATAGTGCTGCAGTGAACATTGGGGTGCATGTGTCTTTTTGAATTGTGGTTTTCTCTGGGTATATGCCTGGTAGTGGGATTGCTGGATCATATGGTAATTCTATTTTTAGTTTTTTAAGGAACCTCCATACTGTTCTCCGTAGTGGCTGTATCAGTTTACATTCCCACCAGCAGTGCAAGAGGGTTCCCTTTTCTCCACACCCTCTCCAGCATTTGTTTGCAGATTTTCTGATGATGCCCATTCTAACTGGTGAGAGGTGATACCTCATTGAAGTTTTGATTTGCATTTCTCTAATAATTAGTGATGTTGAGCAGCTTTTCATGTGCCTCTTGGCCATCTGTATGTCCTCTTTGGAGAAATGTCTATTTAGGTCTTCTGCCCATTTTTGGATTGGGTTGTTTGTTTCTTTAATATTGAGCTTCATGAGCTGTTTATGTATTTTGGAGATTAATCCTTTGTCCATTGATTCGTCTGCAAATATTGTCTCCCATTCTGAGGGTTGTCTTTTCGTCTTGTCTATGGTTTCCTTTGCTGTGCAAAAGCTTTGAAGTTTCATTAGGTCCCATTTGTTTTACTTTTGTTTTTATTTCCGTTACTCTAGGAGGTGGATCAAAAAAGATCTTGCTGTGATTTATGTCAAAGAGTGTTCTTCCTATGTTTTCCTCTAAGAGTTTTATAGTGTCTGGCCTTACATTTAGGAATTTAATCCATTTTGAGTTTATTTTTGTGTATGGTGTTAGGGAGTGTTCTAATTTCATTCTTTTACATGTAGTTGTCCAGTTTGCCCAGCACCACTTATCGAAGAGGCTGTCTTTTCTCCATTGTATATCCTTGCCTTCTTTGTCATAGATTAGTTGACCATAGGTGCGTGGGTTTATCTCTGGGCTTTCTATCTTGTTGCATTGATCTATGTTTCTGTTTTTGTGCCAGTACCATATTGTCTTGATTACTGTAGCTTTGTAGTATAGTCTGAAGTCAGGGAGTCTGATTCCTCCAGCTCTGTTTCTCCCCCTCAAGACTGCTTTGGCTATTCGGGGTCTTTTGTGTCTCCATACAAATTTTAAGATGTTTTGTAAGAAATGCCATTGGTAATTTGATAGGGATTGCGTTGAATCTGTAGATTGCTTTGGGTAGTATAGTCATTTTCACAGTATTGATTCTTCCAATCCAAGAACATGGTATATCTCTTCATCTCTTGGTATCATCTTTAATTTCTTTCATCAGTGTCTTATAGTTTTCTGCATACAGGTCTTTTGTCTCCCTAGGTAGGTTTATTCCTAGGTATTTTATTCTTTTTGTTGCAGTGGTAAATGGGAGTGTTTCCTTAATTTCTCTTTCAGATTTTTCATCATTAGTGGATAGGAATTGAAGACATTTCTGTGCATTAATTTTGTATCCTGCAACTTTGCCAAATTCATTGATTAGCTCTTGTAGTTTTCTGGTGGCATCTTCAGGATTCTCTATGTATAGTATCATGTCATCTAAAAACAGTGACAGTTTTACTTCTTCTTTTCCAATTTGTATTCCTTTTATTTCTTTTTCTTCTCTGATTGCTGAGGCTAGGACTTCCAAAACTATGTTGAATAATAGCCGTGAGAGTGGACATCCTTGTCTTGTTCCTGATCTTAGAGGAAATGCTTTCAGTTTTTCACCATTGAGAATGATGTTTGGTGTTGGTTTGTCCTATATTGCCTTTATTATGTTCAGGTAGGTTCCCTCTGTGCCAGCTTTCTGGAGAGTTTTTATCATAAATCGGTGTTGAATTTTGTCAAAAGCTTTTTCTGCATCTATTGAGATGATCATATGGTTTTTATTCTTCAGTTTGTTAGTATGGTGTATCACATTGATTGATTTGCGTATATTGAAGAATCCTTGCATCCCTGGGGTAAATCCCACTTGATCATGGTTTATGATCCTTTTAATGTGTTGTTGGATTCTGTTTTTTAGTATTTTGTTGAGGATTTTTGCATCTATATTCATCAGTGATACAGGTCTGTAATTTTCTTTTTTTGTGGTATCTTTGTCTGGTTTTGGTATCAGCGTGATGGTGGCCTCATAGAATGAGTCTGGGAGTGTTCCTTCCTCTGCAAGTTTTTGGAAGAGTTTGAGAAGGATGGGTGTTAGCTCTTCTTCCTTCAGTTAGTCATGGATTCCTGTTTCTGTTTTCTTCACCAGATAACCCCATCCATCTCTCTCTGTTTCACTTGCTGCCTTAGCTTAGACCTTTATCGCTGTGCGCAGTGTAACGCGCTGGCTGCCAAGTGGTGTCTGCCTCCTCTGTCTCCTCAGTTCTGGATGGCATGAGGTGAGACTCTAGCCTGAACCCCACTCCTTTTCCTGCGAAACCCAGTGTCATTGACATTCCTTTTTCTGCTGTCTGTGATAGGCTGGCAATTCTGTTTTGTTGATGTGTCTTGTCTCCTCTCTTGCATTGTTTCAGTTCTAGTAATGCTTTTCCCCCCCCCCCCCCCCCCCGAGAGGCTTTGAAGCAGCAGGTAGCAGATTTACAGGAAGATTTGAAAAGAAAGGAAGGAAAATGGTCCAGTACACATGGCCGTCTTAGAAGCCAGATAGAAATGTTGGTCAAAGAGAACACAGACCTCCGGGAGGAAATGAAAGTGATGGAAAGATTCCGACTAGATGCCTGGAAGAAAGCCGAAGCCACCGAGAGCAGCTCCAGGATGGGTCAGTGCGCGACGGCCTCGAGAAGAGACGGGTCCAGGGTAGGTTTTGTCACGTTGGGGAGATGCTAAATATTTGAGCAGTCAGATTCGTAGAAACGGAGTAGGAGGGTGGGTGCCAGGGCTGGGGGAGGGGAGGATGAGAAGCCGTTGTTTAGTGAGGGCAGTTTTGCAAGGTGAAGAGTTCTGGAGGTGATGGTGGTGATGGCTGCGCAGTGGTGTGAATGTGCTTAACGCCAGTAACGTGTACATCTTAACGTGGTTAAGATGGTGATTTTGTGTTCTGTGTATTTTACCACAATTAAATACTTCTTTTGTGCATCGCTATACAGATAGTTTTCAAATTCATTTTTATAATTCTTATAAAGGAATTATAACACAGTAGGCGGGTAATCTCAGTTAAAACAGGGTAAAATTTTTGCAGAGATTTTTTTTTTTTTGCATATGATCCTTTTAAATCAAGTATTTGGTTTTTTATTCGTCTGTATTCACAACTGTGATGTGCCGGTCATGGCTTTGAGGCACTGGAGACCAAGCAATGAATAAAACAGACAAACTTCCTTGTCCTCTTGGAGCTCGGATTCCAGCCGTGGGAGAAAGCTGAGTGAAGCATATGGTGTGGGACGTAGTGGCGAGAACTCGGGAGGGAAAGCAAGGAGGGGGATCACCGCTGGGCGGAGTGTGTTGCGGTTTATACAGGATGGCTGGGGAGGCCCTCCTGAGAAAGCGACGTTGGAATAGTGGCCCGAAGAGGGCGCAGCGAGCCGGGCTGAGACGTGGGCCAGGAGCCCCGAGGCTGGGAGGACCAGGGTCCGTGAGGGGCAGAGCAGCAGGTGGGACCAGAGATGGGCTCGAGGGTGGTGGTGCCGCTTTCGTTAGGCCTTAGTAACTACCTGTGAGCGTCGCCTTTTCCCTCTGAGTCAGACGGGGAGCCCTGGCAGGGCTTGGACAGAAGGGGTGGCCTCCGCCTCTGTGTTGGTGAGCCCACCCTCCCTGCTGTAGACATGCGAGTGGCCTGAAGTGGGCGTCTGGGCGCCATCAGGACACCAGTTGGGGGGTTGCTGCAGGTGGATGGGGTTTATTGATGAACTGGGGATGGGGTGTGACAGCAGGAGAGGGGCGGGAACGGCTTCCAAGTTGAGTGTGGTTTTTTTGGCCCTTTACCGTGAGTCCCCGCAAGAAGAGAGCACGCTTTTCCTGCGGGTCTGGGTGTTGGTTAGGAGCTCAGGTTAGATCAGGTGAGCTCGAAATGCCTACTAGACATCAGGTGGACATCAGGCGGGGCTGTGCGTGTCCAGAGAAGCTCAGGTTGGAGCGAGAAGTTTGGGGCCCTCGGAACGTGTGGGAGAGATCGCTCGGCTGAAGGCGTGGACGGGGAAGGGTCCTGGGTCCTGGCCAGGTTGTGAGAAGATGGCGGGGAGGAGAATGAACCCGAGTCTGAAGTAAAGGAGGCCAGTGTGGTGTCCTGAGGGCCAAGTAAAGCAGCAGAGAGGCCCGTGCCCCAGAGGCCGCTGCCGAGTAAGCGGGGGACTGCAGATGGGTCCTCGGATATGCCGGGTAAAAGCCTGACCGGCTAAGAGAGCGAGCGGTTTCAGGCAGAGTATAAAGCGCTGTGGAGAAGTTTTGCAGTAACAGTAAGGAAATGGGGCAGTAGCTGTAGGGGAAGTAGTTTTTTGTTTTTTTTTTTAAGATGGGAAAGTCAACACGTGCTTATGTATTGGTAGGATTGATTCAGTAGGAAAATACGGATGCAGGAGAGAGTGGGCGGGTTGCCGAAGCTGCGAGCACAAAGGAGAGGAGACCGGGTTTGGGGGAGTGGAGGCGCCCGCCCGGCCGGGAGCTCGACGTCTGTGTCTGGTGACGGGGCCTCAGCCGTGGACCTGGGGCTGGACGTGTGGGGTCCGTTGGTGGGACGTTCCCCCCTAACCCTCTGGCTTCCCTCGGGGAATGGAGGCTCGGGCATCTGCTGAGACTGAGGATGGAGGCCACTCTGGGAGGCTGGAGGGGCGGATCGGGGTCCACGAGAGTGGAGAGCAAAGGGCGAAGTGTGGTCTGACTCCTGGGCTGCGCTAGGGGCCCATGTAGGTTAGCGATTATATGTTTCAAGTGGGAATTGTTTGCGTTATTTTTCCTTATTCAGCTCTTTGGGTGTAGGGTGGTGGAGAGTAATATTGATATTTTAGCAGAGGTGTGGTCATCCAGGTGAATCATACAGAGTGAGAGGGGCTGGAAGTTGACAGTATGTAAATACAACAGGAGTGCCTGCAGTGCACCATGAATTCAGGCTGCTCAAGGAGGGCATAGGTTTTGGGGGACACAGAAAACATGTGGATCAGTGAATTGTGGGACCGTGTGGGCTGTAAGCATTGTTGGAGTGAGGGTCTCAGAGGGATGAGCTGGAAGGACAGGACACGGTAGTTAGAAGATGGAATTCTGCCCCCCATTTTATTATGAAAGCTGCCCCGAATAGAGCAAGTTGAAAGAATAGTTTGATGAACACCTGAGTACCCACCTAGATCCAGCCATTGTTCACATTTTGCCATACTGCTGTATAGGTATTTTGCTGAACCATTTGAAGGTAATTGCAGAAATTGTGGCAACTCACCCCTAAATACTTCGGCACTTTATTAAATGGCACTGGCTTTTTGGATAATTTTTATTTATGTCCCACATTCTGGATTCGAATGCTTTGAAATTGATACTTTTGCAGTTCTTAATAATCGCAGATACTGATAATGACTAGTTCTAGACTTTGTCCATTGGAGCGCATGGCCACGGTGGGAGAGAACAGGTGTAGAGATGGCAGCTAAGGTACTGGGGTGGCTTCTTCTGGCACGCGGGGTCCACGGACATGAGACTTGCTGGGGCAGGGGTGGCTAGGGAGGAGAGAAGGAGGGTCTGGTTGGAGGTGGTGGTGGGGAGCAAGGAGGACATCTACCTTGACCTCTAAATCTGGGGGCTGCGGAAGGGGCAGTGGTGAGCAGTCTTCTGCTGTCTGACCGTGAGTTCATGTCCTCTCCTCGGGCCGCTCTGGTAACAGTCACAAAAACCTGTTTTGTTTTACATGGTCTGTTATGCCTTCACTTGAGGATTGCATGTATTTCCAGAGGTGGCGTGTGCGTGTGTGTGTAGCTCATTCCTAGTAGCAGCTTGTTCGCTCTGGCCTGTAGCAGTAAACGAAAACAGCATAAATGAACAAACTTAAAACATTCCCATTGCAAGCTGAGTTCTGTTAGTTTCATTCCTTGTACTAACGTGTAAACTAATACTAATTTTATATTCAAAATTTTCTCATACTATAGAAGTCATCAGTTCGATTTCAAAAGAGTCAAGTTTCTTCAGGAACCCAGGTAGAAAAGTACAAAAAAACCTATTTGCCAACACAAGGTAAGATAGTTGCATGATCTTCTTTTAAAATATTTCAGGAATTTAAAGAGTGGAGAATTTACACCCACCTTAATAAATAAAACATTGTAAATATAATTGAAGCCCCTGTGTATCCTACTCCCAGTTAATGTGCACCCTGACAGCATTCCCTTTCTTATTTTTCATTCTTTTACTACATTGTGTCTGTAAATCAATATAGTGTTGTTTCATAGTTTATCCCTCTGCAGTTTGCTGCTTTCTCAGTATTTTAAGACGTAGCCTCATTAATACATATAAACTCTAGCTGTACAGATTCCATGTGTATTTGCCACAGTATATTTTCTTGTTGGCGGGCATTCAGGTTTTCCCCCAGTTTGTCACAGAATGAACAAGTCTCGGTCATGTGAGTTTCTCTCTGACACATGTCAGGAGTAGGATATTGGGTCACATCAGGTTTGTGCCACTTTAGGAGGCTTTCCCTTTGCAAAGCGGTTACCAGTTTCTTTTTTTACTGTCAGCAGAACATGCTCTTTGTGCTTGCCAACACTTGCTCTGCTCAGACTTTACAATTTTGGCTAGTCAGATGGGTGTGAAATGGTGGGTCAGTGTAATATGCATTTCCCAGGTTACTGATGAGGTAATGTGAGCATCTTTTCATATTTAGTGGACATTTGGGTCTCCTCTTTTGTGAATTGCCTGTTCATTTCTTTTGCCCATTTAAAACTCTGTGTGTGTGTTTGTGTATGTGTATGTTTTTCTGTATTGAAGTTAGTCATTCTGCATACTAATCCTTTGTCATTTGTAAGCACTGCCAGTATCTTCTGCCAATCTGTATGTAGCTTTTTGGTTTGTGGGTTTTTTGTTTTTTTTTTTTTTTTTGCGGTACACGGGCCTCTCACTGCTGTGGCCTCTCCCGTTGCGGAGCACAGGCTCAGTGGCCATGGCTCACGAGCCCAGCCGCTCTGCGGCATGTGGGATCCTCCTGGACCGGGGCACGAACCCGTGTCCCCTGCATCGGCAGGCGGACTCTCAACCACTGCGCTACCAGGTAAGCCTGGTTTGTGGGTTTTTTAAAAAAATAAAATTATTTATTTTTGGCTCTGTGGGGTCTTCGTTGCTGTGCGCGGGCTTTCTCTAGTTGCGGTGAGCGGAGGCTACTCTTTGTTGCGGTGCGTGGGCTTCTCATTGCGGTGGCTTCTCTTGTTGCGGAGCACGGGCTCTAGGCGCGCGGGCTTCAGTAGTTGTGGCACACGGGCTTAGTTGCTCCGCGGCATGTGGGATCTTCCCAGACCAGGGCTCGAACCTGTATCCCGTGCATTGGCAGGTGGATTCTTAATCACTGTGCCACCAGGGAAGTCCCTGGTTTGTGTTTTTTATATACATGTTTTTCCTTTTAATATTGAAGTTAATCAATTTTTTTAAAAAATGGTTTTTGCTTTTTGTGACAGATACCCTTCTCAATCGTCAGGTCACAAATATGCTATTTTCTCCCATGAACTTTTGTTTTCACAACTGGGTCTTTAAGATCTACCTGGCATTTTTAGAAATTATTTCTGTGAATTAAATTTATAAAAGTGGATATAACATATGCAGTTTGGCAGTTATAAAGGAAATACTTGGGTAACCACTGCCTAGATAAAGAAATAGATTAGCAGCATCCCAGAACTGACCCCTCAATGATTATATTACATTGCTTTTCCCTTTCATAGGTACAGCCCTAAAAAAATGTTTTACTTGTTTTTCAGCTTTCTGAATAGAGTTGTACTGTATGTATCGCATTGTCTTCTTTCACTACCTAGTTTTTTTTTTTATGCATCTTTATTGCAGTATAATTTCTTCACAATGCTGTTAGTTTCTGTTGTACAACAAAGTGATTCAGCCATATGCATACACATGTCCCCATATCCCCTCCCTCTTGAGCCTCCCTCCCACCCTCCCTATCCCACCTCTCTAGGTCATCGCAAAGCACGGAGCTGATCTCCCTGTGCTATGCTGCTGCTTCCCAACAGCCAACTATTTTACATTCGGTAGTGTATATATGTCGATGCTACTCTCACTTCGCCCCAGCTTCACCCTCCCACCCCATGTCCTCAAGTCCATTCTCTATGTCTACCTCTTTATTCCTGCCCTACAACTAGGTTCATCGGTACCGTTTTTTTTTTTTTTTTAAGATTCCCTATCTATGCATTAGCATACAGTATTTGTTTTTCTCCTTCTGATTTAATTCACTCTGTATGACAGTCTCCAGGTCCATCCACCTCACTACAAATAACTCAATTATGTTTCTTTTTATGGCTGAGTAATATTCCATTGTATATATGTGCCACATCTTCTTTATCCATTCATCTGTCGATGGACACTTAGGTTGCTTCCATGTCCTAGCTATTGTAAATAGAGCTGCAGTGAACATTGTGGTACATGACTCTTTTGGAATTACGGTTTTCTCAGGGTATATGACCAGCAGTGGGCTTGCTGGGTCGTATGGTAGTTCTATTTTTAGTTTTTTAAGGAACCTCCATATTGTTCTCCATAGTGGCTGTATCAATTTACATTCCCACCAACAGTGCAAGAGGGTTCCCTTTTCTCCACACCCTCTCCAGCATTTATTCTTTGTAGATTTTTTCATGGTGGCCATTCTGACTGGTGTGAGGTGATACCTCATGGTAGTTTTGATTTGCATTTCTCTAATGATTAATGATATTGAGCATTCTTTCATGTGTTTGTTGGCAATCTGTATATGTTCTTTGGAGAAATGTCTATTTAGGTCTTCTGCCTGTTTTTGGATTGGGTTGTTTGATTTTTTTAATATTGAGCTGCATGAGCTGCTTGTAAATTTTGGAGATTAATCCTTTCTCAGTTGCTTCATTTGCAAATATTTTCTCCCGTTCTGAGGGTTGTCTTTTTGTCTTGTTTATGGTTTCCTTTGCTGTGCAAAAGCATTTGAGTTTCATTAGGTCCCATTTGTACATTTTTATTTCCGTTTCTCTAGGAGGTGGGTCAAAAAGGATCCTGCTGTGATTTATGTCATAGAGTGTTCTGCCTATGTTTTCCTCTAAGAGTTTTATAGTGTCTGGCCTTACATTTAGGTCTTTAATCCATTTTGAGTTTATTTTTGTGTATGGTGTTAGGGAGTGTTCTAATTTCATTCCACTTACTGAAGAGGCTGTCTTTTCTCCATTGTATATTCTTGCCTCCTTTATCAAAGATAAGGTGACCATATGTGTGTGGGTTTATCTCTGGGCTTTCTATCCTGTTCCATTGATGTGTATTTCTGTTTTTGTGCCAATACCCTAACTGTCTTGATTACTGTAGCTTTGTGGTATGGTCTGAAGTCTGGGAGCCTGATTCCTCCATCTCCGTTTTTCTTTCTCAAGATCACTTTGGCTATTCGGGGTCTTTTGTGTCCATACAAATTGTAAAATTTTTTGTTCTAATTCTGTGAAGAATGCCATTGGTAGTTTGATAAGGATTGCATTGAATCTGTAGATTGCTTTGGGTAGTATAGTCATTTTCACAATATTGATTCTTCCAATCCAAGAACATGGTATATTTCTCCATCTGTTTATGTCATCTTTGATTTCTTTCATCAGTATTTTATAGTTTTCTGAGTACAGGTCTTTTTCTCCTTAGGTAGGTTTATTCCTAGGTATTTTATTCTTTTTGTTGCGATGGTAAATGGGATTGTTTCCTTAATTTCTCTGATTTTTCGTTGTTAGTGTATAGGAATGCAAGAGATTTCTGTGCATTAATTTTGTATCCTGCAACCTTACCAAATTCACTGATTAGTTGTAGTAGTTTTTTGGTGGCATCTTTAGGATTTTCTATGTATAGTATCATGTCATCTGCAAACAGTGACAGTTTTACTACTTCTTTTCCAATTTATATTCCTTTTATTTCTTTTTCTTCTCTGATTGTCGTGGCTAGGACTTCCAGAACTATGTTGAATAATAGTGGTGAGAGTGGACATCCTTGTCTTGTTCCTGATCTTAGTGGAAATGCTTTCAGTGTTTCACCTTTGAGTATGATGTTGGCTGTGGGTTTGTCATATATGGCCTTTATTATGTTGAGGTAGGTTCCCTCTATGCTCATTTTCTGGAGCGTTTTTATCATAAATGGGTGTTGAATTTTGTCAAACGCTTTTTCTGCATCTGTTGAGGTGATCATATGGTTTTTATTCCTTAGTTTGTGTATATGGTGTATCACATTGATTGATTTGCCTATACTGAAGAGTCCTTGCATCCCTGGGATAAATCCCACTTGATCATGGTGTATGATCCTTTTAGTGTGTTGTTGCATTCTATTTGCCAGTTTTTGTTCAGGATTTTTGCGTCTATATTCATCAGTGATATTGGTCTGTAATTTCCTTTTTTTGTGATATCTTTTTCTGGTTTTGGTATCAGGGTGATGGTGGCTTTGCAGATCGAATTTGGGAGTGTTCTTCCCTCTGCAGTTTTTTGGAAGAGTTTGAGAAGGATGGGTCTCATCCTTCTGTAAATGTTTGATGGAATTCTGTAAATGTTTGATGGAATTCGCCTGTGAAGCCATCTGGTCCTGGGCTTTTGTTGGTTGGAAGATTTTAAATTACAGTTTCAATTTCATTGCTTGTGACAGGTCTGTTTATATTTTCTAATTCTTCCTGGTTCGGTCTTGGAAAATTGTATCTTTCCAAGAATTTGTCCATTTCTTCGTGGTTGTCCATTTTATTGGCATATAGCTGCTTGTGGTAGTCTCTTATAATCCTTTGTATTTCTGTGGTGTCAGTTGTGATTTCTCCTTTTTCATTTCTAATTTTATTGATTTGCATCCTCTCCCTTATTGACTTGATGAGTCTGGCTAAGGGAGAGGAAAGAGGAATGATTTAGCTGCCATGATGCTGACTTCACCTTTAAAAGTTCCCAGATTTCTTTCTTTAATGTAGTTGAATTTCACCTTTTTCCTTTATGGGTGGTGCTTCTTGCCTTAAGTCTTTACCTATCCTGAGGTCATAAACATATACTCCTAAAGTATCTAGCTGTTCCAGCATTAGTTATTAATTTTGACATGTCATTTTATAAGGTGCTCACAGTGGTGGACACCCATCCCCCTCTGTTCCTCCCAGTGAGAATGTGCTCAGAGGCTTGTTCATGACGTTCACAAACAGCTGAGAGAATTAAGCTTGATGAGCTCGAATACTGGTTCTGACTTGACTTTTATTAGTTGACAACCTTGGCAAGTTATTTAGCCTCTCAGCTTTGATTTCCTCACCTATAAAATGAGGCTATTAGTCTTTTCTACGAGGCTGGTTGTAAGATTTAGAGATGATGTAACACGGAGCTCAGACTGCTCTGTGGTTCTTTGTGCCTGTGAGGCAGAGGAAGGTGTTCATTTAGCCAAATCTGTGTGCACTCCTTGATCCCTTTTTTCTTGTATCCTAACCCCCCACTCCCATCAATCCCTAAACTAATCCTGATGTTGGTATTTTCTGAATTAAGTAGGTTGAACCATATGACATTGCTAGCACTCGGCTGTTTGGGACCCACGGGTCAGTGATTTGACACAGTACAAACACTGCCGTCTCCACAGTCGCCCACCAGCCTCCTGACTGGACTCTGCCTCTGTTCTTCTTCTCTAGTCTATTCTCCCTGGAGCATCCAACATCCATTTTAGTGTTTAACACTTAAGTCAGATCCTGGCACTTGAGCTTGAAACCCTTCAAATTTGGGAGTGTTTATAATACCCATTGGCATATAAGAAGAAAATATTAGAACTTCAGTGTATTTTTAATATCACTTTGTTGTTGGTGGTGTCTGTGTGTATGCACATACATGCTTATTTTATAATGTATGAACGTGTACAGTACATGATTTGTGTGTTGGTCATGATCTAAAAAGTTTAGACCACAGCCATTAGGTCTAGATTATAATTAAATACCCAGTTATTTGTTTTCAAGCCAAATTCTATGTGTATTCCTGGATGCTTCTATTATCTGTACCCCATTCCTACCCTCTAACTAAAGTCCTGGTGATTGTCTCCAAAATACCTTTGGGTCCATCTGTTAGGTTAGTTGAGCACCTTTCTCCAGATTGTACACTTTCAAAAAACAGATACTTTGCGTTTCTTGGTCATCAGACTTAAGTATTTGAATAAGTATTTGAATTTATACAGTGATAGAACTCCTAGGAATTAATAACGAAAAGTACTAAGACTTCCTTAAATAATGGGTAAAGGACGGCAGTTCACAAAAGAGTGAACTAAGGAGATGTTTGACCATAGTATTGAGTAAACTTAAAACTTTCAATTAAATAATAAAACTAACTCTGGTAATTATATTCTAACAGGCAATCCATCTCGAAGATCCAAGTCTGTGTCTCGTGATTTAGGCAATTCGGATAAAGGACAAGTAAATCTCTTTATGTTTTTATATATTAAACATATTATTCAGGCTTAAAGTTGACTGGTTAACTGGCTTAAGTTTCTAAACCATTTATAAAGGAAGCTTTTTACTTAACATTGTAAATGTTTTCTATACAACACCAAATACTAGTCATACTAGAATCCTGTAATAGTGGAATCTGGCTTTTGGACTAAGTGTAAGTTTTAGCTGCTTGAGATTTTTATTACATGTAATGTAGGACAGACGGAGAGCCTCTTGTCCTTACAGACAGCCTTACCCAGGGAGCCACCTGAACCAGTGAACTCTCCAGATCCTGAATGTAAAGACGATGATGAAAAAGAAGAAAAAGAAGAAATTCAGGGAGAAATCAGCCATCCTGATGGAAAGGTTAAACTTTTTTCTTTAAACCAATGAATACTATAAAAAATGAACATGGGTTAAAATAGAGTTGAGGGGCTTCCCTGGTGGCGCAGTGGTTGAGAGT